TCTTATCACAAACTTGGCAAATGTGGGGTTGTTCACCAGTGTAGATGAGCATATGTCTATTCAAGCTACTTGATGCTGTAAATGTCTTTCCACATATTTTACATTTATTAGGACGTGCCCCATTGTGAATTAGCATATGTTTGTTCAAGTTACTCGATTGTGTTAATTTCTTGTCACAAATTTGGCAAATATGAGGACGTTCACCTGGCCCCTTTGCAGTATGAGTGCGAAGATTTCGTTTTCGATTACTTGATTCATTCAAATGTAAAATTTGTTCCCTTGCAAAGGCACAAATGTGTTGATCTAAATGATATTTTTCAGTAAATGCTTTACCGCACTTTGTACATGTGAAATGTTTTTCACATGTATAAGATTTTATATGTATTTCTAATGCACTTGCATCTGAAAAAGATTCTGAACAATATGTATCCTTATGACAATAATTTAAGATATGCTGTTCTGAATGAGGCAACTTTCTAAATGTTCTATGACACTTATCACATTTATAAGAAGGAGTTTGAATTAATTCCTGTTTGACATCTTCTTCTATTTTTACAATAGAGTTCATAAATCTCGTTAGACATGTTTTGTCATCCTCTGAATACGATTCAGGGTCTTCCTCAACTTCCGGTTTAATGTCTTCGATTGGATATTCTTGTGGTTCAGTTTTAATTATCGGATCACCAGCAGCTTCTGACATTTTGAGATATTTGTGCACTGAGAATGTTCTATAAGCATAACAAAAAAAGGGTTAGTTTAAATGAACTATTGTTAAATATGATAATTCATTTCACTGTCGAATTTATGTTAAAAGTTTATGGGAATAATAATACAACCGTTTAGGCAGAAGGATAAAAACAGATTGACAAATTATATGTTCTTTAACTAAACACATGCATTACAAACATTATTAAGAATCACGGGTTTTACAGAAAACAAAAGACAAACAGAGATAGGTACGGGAAATGGCAGAGGGGGAAGGGGCGCAGGGAGCGAAGGGGAGGGGAACGCGCGGGGGAAAAAGACGAAGGCAGAGAGGGAGAGGGAGAGGGAGAGGGAGAGGGAGAAGGAGAGGGAGAGGGAGAGGGAGAGGGAGAGGGAGAGGGAGAGGGAGGGAGGGAGAGGGGAGAGGGAGAGGGAGAGGGAGGGGAGAGGGAGAGGGAGAGGGAGAGGGAGAGGGAGAGGGAGAGGAGAGGGAGAGGGAAGGGAGAGGGAGAGGGAGAGGGAGAGGGAGAGGGAGAGGGAGAGGAGGGAGGGGAGAGGGAGAGGGAGAGGGAGAGGGAAGGGAGAGGGAGAGGGAGAGGGAGAGGGAGAGGGAGAGGGAGAGGGAGAGGGAGAGGGAGAGGGAGAGGGAGAGGGAGAGGGAGAGGGAGAGGGAGAGGGAGAGGGAGAGGGAGAGGAGAGGGAGAGGAGAGGGAGAGGGAGAGGGGAGAGGGAGAGGGAGAGGGAGAGGAGAGGGAGAGGAGAGGGAGAGGGAGAGGGAGAGGGAGAGGGAGAGGAGAGAGGGAGAGGGAGAGGGAGAGGAGAGGGAGAGGGAGAGGGAGAGGGAGAGGGAGAGGGGAGAGGGAGAGGGAGAGGGAGAGGGAGAGGAGAGGGAGAGGGGAGAGGGAGAGGGGAGGGAGAGGGAGAGGGAGAGGGAGAGGGAGAGGGAGGGAGAGGGAGAGGAGAGGGAGAGGGAGAGGGAGAGGGAGAGGGAAGGGAGAGGGAGAGGAGAGGGAGAGGGAGAGGGAGAGGGAGAGGGAGAGGGAGAGGGAGAGGGAGAGGGAGAGGGAGAGGGAGAGGGAGAGGGAGAGGGAGAGGGAGAGGGAGAGGGAGAGGAGAGGGAGAGGGGGAGAGGGAGAGGGAGAGGAGAGGGAGAGGGAGAGGGAGAGGGAGAGGGAGAGGGAGAGGGAGAGGAGGAGGGAGAGGGAGGAGAGAGGGAGAGGAGAGGGAGAGGGAGAGGAGAGGGAGAGGGAGAGGGAGAGGGAGAGGGAGAGGGAGAGGGAGAGGGAGAGGGAGAGGAGAGGGGAGAGGGAGAGGGAGAGGGAGAGGAGAGGGAGAGGGAGAGGGAGAGGGGAGAGGGAGAGGGAGAGGGAGAGAGAGGGGAGGGAGGGAGAGAGGAGAGGGAGAGGGAGAGGGAGAGGGAGAGGGAGAGGGAGAGGGAGAGGGAGAGGGAGAGGAGAGGGAGAGGGAGAGGGAGAGGAGAGGGAGAGGGAGAGGGAGAGGGAGAGGGAGAGGGAGAGGAGAGGGAGGGAGGGAGAGGAGATTTAGATATATTTATTTATATTTATATTTATATTTATATTTATATTTATATTTATATTTATATTTATATTTATATTTATATTAATTATTTTAGTCATATGCATATTAATACCCATTATTTATTACTATTGATCAATTAACAATTTATTTATTAACTATTAACTATGAACTATTAACTATTTAATTAATAACTATTAACTATTTAACCATTAACTATTACCTATTTAACTATTCTTAATTCACTATTTACTAATAATGATTCCCTATTTGCTAATATCTATTCACTATTTACTATTAACTATTCAGTTATCACTATTCACGATTCACTACTTTACTATTCAACTGCTATTATATATCTTGATCAAAATGAACAAATCTTCAACAGAATGTTATTAATCATTTATCATCATAACACCATTTTGGTACAAAATTTTTAACATGCTTGACGTATTTCGCGCATAGTCTTTATTGCGCATGCGTCAAATACGCGAGATGTTCATAAGACCGATCCAAGTACGCACGTACACCATTGTTTTAATTTGATTGTTTGAGAACACGCCACATTCACCTAGCGTTTTGGGGAATGTGCACATTTACCGGTGAATGTGCACATTCACCGAGAGTGCACATTTACCGTAACATATACATAAACATAATAGACACAGAGCGTTTAGTATCAAACTTCAACATTCACTAGAAATACAAATAAAAACATTAGTTGTTGACAGTTGGAGCATGGAGTATGATTTTAGAAAGTCAATTGCATTTATACTCTCGTAACATTTTATAGGAATGAATGTTTAAATTAATATAATAATTCTAAACTGTCATATAATATTCATATCATGGTTTTGTCTATGAATATAATCTTACATTAATTTAACAGAAGTGTATTTTGAATGATGTATGTCGCCAAGATAATTCCTTCTTTAAAATACTTTATATATTAGACGGACAGTAAATATGAATCAACTATTGTTCAAAGCTTTTGCCTTATTGCAAAGCTGAAATGTAAAAGGTGAAATTAAGCAATAATTTTGCATTATTTTAAGTTAAATATTTATAGTTCTTTCTAAATAAAATAAATATAACTAAAAGTTAATCACGTGGAAGAACCTCAAAGTATTTTACACTACCTTTATGTTTATCAATTAATTACAAATGCTGCTTTATAATATATATTGTTATATTCATACTTAAATTCATATAGAATATATTTATCATGACATTTAATTGATAATCAAATAAACGAAATATAAATTGTTTCTTCAGTACATTAATTTGTTTGACAGTTGAACGAACTTCGTTACTTTGCCTCGCTATAATGTTATTATTACCAACCGTAGAAATTACTACACTACAATAATAGGCATAGATAAATAAACATAAATAGATCGATATCTCAGGCCATTTGACGTTACCTTCATTTTAATTTATACAGCGATCTGAAAAAGGCAGCACCTGTACAGTATATAAATTAACCGCTGGTAGTATTCCTAGATATGGTTCGTATACATAATTGAAAATAAGAAAATCTAAACAATTTCACGATGATAATAGGCGTCGTGAAAAAAGAAAGCAAATGAATAAGAATTTGCTGTAAACTAATATTTGTTTTGGTGTAAAACGTGCATTTTTAGTAAACATTTGTTATAATTCATATTTCTTACGGTAAGAATAATGAAACTCAAAATTTAAATCTTCTTTGCTATTACTAATATGCTTTATATTTACAGTCAGGATGGATATCCAATGAGAAAAATATGAAATCGGTTTAGAAAATAAATTATTTCTTGTAGCTTTGGTGTATATCGTACTACAGTTGATTCTTTCTGCATATTCTATGGTCAACTTGGCAAGCAATTTAAGCACATTAGTGCACTCAATTGGTAGCAACGCTACTAAAACTAGTTTCGCAAATTAAATCATTTTAAAAGACAAATTATGAAAGGTATGAAGTAGTAATACTGCTTTAGATGTTACTTTTCAGATTCATTCGCAGACATTTTCCAAGTGTGGTCACATTATTAACTGCCCAGCCAGTGAATAGAGTTGACAAAATTATGTCAAAAGAATTTAAGAAGTGTACTCGAAATCCAAAGTTTTATTTCATTATTTTGAGATTGAGATTAACACTCGACATAATATTGACTGTGCAGCCTACACATACTAAAATTATTGAAAAAATGTATTCAATAAAATGTGTTTTTTTAGCAACAATATAAATAATGCTATAAAAATACTTATATTTGATCATATCTGTAATTTCTGAATGGTTGCACTCTAGATGGCTTTATTTCGGTTGTTAGTGATGTGGGTTTCGAACGTAATAAAAAAAATAAAATCTGGAGATACTGTATTAACTGACAAAGCTAAATTCATGAGTAAAAAAAGACAAAGTTTTTAATTGTACTTTATATGATGGTATGATATAGCTGCTATAGCAAAATAATACTTTAATCTATAAATAATATTTGCGTACTAGTTTTTCAGGACCAATACATTGAATAAATGAAACTAATTTAATGAATATAAAAGTACTTCCCATGGGGCTATATATTATAAGCAAATTAAATTCATTATGTAGTGTTAAAGTAGTTGTTAGTCAAATTATATTATATCGAGAATTATTCAAAATATGTTTAGAACGCTATATTTATAATTATTTCATTATTTATATTCATTTTATTAAACAATTACATACAATATGCTTTTATCAGTAACAAACTGAGTTAAAAAATACATGAATTGCCCACAAGAAAAGGATTTTAAGGTTGGATAGTTTCCGGCACATACAAAACTTTTTTTAAACGTTTTCTTACAGGACGTATTCCACAATGTACTCCTTTCACATGTTTTCTTAATGCATCTAGTATTGGAAATGCTCTATTGCAAATTCCACAACTATAAGGACGTTCCCCAGTGTGAATCATTTGATGTCTACTTAATGATTCTCTCGCTGTGAATGTTTTATCGCATATTTCACAACTATAAGGACGCACTCCGGTGTGACTAATTTCATGTCGTCTTAATGAAGCTTTTGCTGTGAATGATTTATTGCATATATTACACTCATGAGGACTTTCTCCACTATGAATTGTTTTATGTTGTTCTAAATTCTGCTTTCTTTTGAATGCTTTATGACATATTTCACAACTAAAAGGTCCTTCAGTATCCTTTGATGATTGATGTTTTCCAGTATGAATCTTTTTATGTATGTATAATGATCTCTTTCTTGCAAATGTTTTTTCGCATATTTCACATTCATAAGGTTGTTCCTCAGTGTGAACAACTTCATGTTGTTTTAAAGTTCGTTTTGTTGCAAATGTTTTATGACATATTTCACAACTGTAAGGACGTTCTCCAGAGTGGATTTTTTTATGTTCGCTTAAATTTCCACTAAATGTGAATGTTTTATTGCATACTTTACATTTGTAAGGTCGTTTTTTAGTAAAAATAATAGCTTTATGTTCATTTAATAATGCTTTTGTTTGATGATTATTGCTAAAATTACTTAAATTACTGATTTCTTCAGTAAATAAGTAAGGTTTTTCATCTAAATTAGTATTAGTTGCAGCATCATGCCCATCGATTTTTTCTTGCTTCATTTCCTCATCGATCGTAACCTCAGATTTTAGAAATTGCTGTAGACAAGTTTCATCATTCTCCATACTCATATGTGATGTGCATTCATAACCATCAAATTCTTGTTTCACTTGAAAATCTTGCTCATCGATCCTCTCTTGCTTTATATCCTCATCAACAGTAACCTCTGATTTCAGAAATTGCTGTAGACAAATTTCATTCTCCATACAAATACTTGTGGTGTTTTCATAATCATCTAAATCTTGTTTAACTTGAGAATATTCGATCGTTTCAATTTTAATTGTTGTGTTTGAATTTGTTTCTTCAGACATTTTTGACGTTTGAAGGTTATTGTTAAGATGTCTGCTTAAAAGTCGAAAAGCCTTTTAATTTATGCGTTATGAACATATAATAAATATATTTGGATATATATTGATTCGTTTGTATTTTAATATGTTATAATACTAACACTGACCTTTTTATTTTTATTTTATATTTTCGTTTGCCTCATTTACGCACCTTCACAATTTGACATTTCTTCTTCGTTTTCGTTTTCTATGACGTTTCTACTGATTGGGCAACACCAACACATTTCAACTGCGAATTAAACGGCGCAAAAATTTGAAATTATATATTACATAGTTAAATGGAAAGTTAGTCTGATATTAGTTTAAAATTATTAACTTCCCGTAAGTTATAGTAATCGCAAAAAAAAATCGAAAATGAAAATTTTTATATATCTTTACGTTTCAGAGGTTTTTGAATATTTTGGCGTACCTTAGAAAAAATGAATGTATGTGTGTGTGTGTGTGTGAGCGTGTGCGTATGTGTGTGCGGATACAAATTTTCGTCGAAGATTTCGGGAACACGGATGAAGCGATTGGAATAATTTAAAAAAAATTCGATTCGTATTGATAAGGAGACGTGCTGATTAGTTTTTGGCAAGGGCAGGTCTAGCCGTTCCGAAGATATGGGGCAAAAAGTGCCAAAAACGGTAACTCAGTTTTTAAGAGAACGGAGCGTCCGATTTGAATAATTCAAAAAACATTAACAAGATGAAGAACTGATCAAAACTTCATGAAAGCAGGTCTAGCGGTTTCGGAGATCTAGTAAAAAAAGTAAAAAAATGCCATCTGGCGGTCAAAAATGATCATTAGGCATATGCACATCAAATTATCAGATATTTTATAGAGATTTTAACAATAAGTATACATTTTGTTTACATTCCTATTGGTTCCGTACCAATGCTTATCCGTTAGACGGCGGCGCGGCGCTTTCGCGCTTCTATATTTTGTCTCTATGCAGTTAAAGCAGTACGATTGCATTGAAAAAAAGTTCAGAATTTCCTGGGAATGCTTTGATAAACTAACATATAGTATACCAGATAAGTAAATATAAGGTATACCTATAGTACACATAAGGTAAATGTACACTATTCCGGGATAGTACATTATTACGGGTGTTTTTCATTTGGATCGCAAAATAAGAAAACGGCCAATAAATAATAATTTTATTCAATAGCACATCAATTATAATTTGAGTCCTAATAAAATAACACGAATAACAACTTGTTAAGTTATCATGGTTATTAGTGTGTTTTACCATTTGTGATATTAAAAAATATATATTTTATCAATGTGCACATACTCATACCATGAATTTGAATAGTGGTTTCATATACTATATTAGGATACAAAATTTTAATTTGATTACCACTGAATGATGGCTAAGATGCTAGCCGAAACGTATGGTAGTTGAAGTAGTTTTGAAATACTTTATTTATCCATACGTTTCAGTCTTCATTGAGACCGTCATTCAGCGGAAAAAATAAAATTATCTATACAAAAATACACTAACTGTTTCAGTATTTAGACATTAGTTAATCTGTACACACTATAGAATGTAACCAAAAATTGTCAAAAATAATTAGTTTAAATGTTCCAGTTATTAATAGCTTGGTTTATCACAGTGTAATAGTGTAGTGTATTTTTGTATAATTAAATTTATTTAACTATTTATTAATTAACTAACGTCTAAATACAGGGGTTAGAATACCCCTGTTCAGGAGATTTTGTATTTCGGCTTTTGCAGCTGATGCTTTTTCACCGAAAATCTTTCTGAACTTGGCAGCAATGGTGTATTTATTAACATCCCGTAGGGTAAGTTATTGTAATGGGCCGAAAATCGGAATTGAAAATTTTTACATTTCTCGACGTTTTGAAGGTTTCTGAACATTTTGGCATACTTCAGAAAAAAGGGATGTGTGTGTGTGTGTATGTATGGATACAAATTTTCGCCCACGTTTTGGGCGTACGGATCAACCGATTTGAATGGTTCAAAAAACATTCGATTTCTATTGATAGGGAAAAGAGCTGATTAGTTTTTGGCAAAGGCAGGTCCAGCCGTTTCGGAGATACGGAGCAAAGAGTGCAGAAAATAGAAATCGAATTTTTGAGAGAACGGAGTATCCGATTTGAATGATCTAAAAAACATTCAATTAGTAATGATTGGGAAAAGTGTTTATTAGTTTTTGGCAAGGGCAGGCCCAGCCATTTTGAAGATACGATGCTAAATATGTAAAAAATGGCAGTTTTTAAGAGAACTAAGCGTCCGATTTAAATGATTCAAAAAACTTTCTGCTTGTCTTAACAAAATAAGGACGCACAGGGAAAAGAGCTGATTAGTTTTTGGCAAAGGCAGGTCCAGCCGTTTCGGAGATACGGAGCAAAGAGTGCAGAAAATAGAAATCGAATTTTTGAGAGAACGGAGTATCCGATTTGAATGATCTAAAAAACATTCAATTAGTAATGATTGGGAAAAGTGTTTATTAGTTTTTGGCAAAGGCAGGCCCAGCCATTTTGAAGATACGATGCTAAATATGTAAAAAATGGCAGTTTTTAAGAGAACTAAGCGTCCGATTTAAATGATTCAAAAAACTTTCTGCTTGTCTTAACAAAATAATTGATTTTGGAAAAAAAATTTTGTTCCATTTTTTTTTTTTTTTTTGTGTATATCGAAAATATTTTAGATTTTATTTTTAATTCTGACTATAGTTCTAATATACTTTACAAATAATTTCAACTCTGCAATTCAGTTTATATAATTCTTATAAATATTAGACAATGCTACAATATTTATAATAATCTATTTGAAAACATTCAGTATTCCTCGAACATTTCGTTACGGTACGGGAAGTTCCAGCAATTTGCCTTAAGGCACGATGCCATAATTGCCTCAAGACAGAATTCCACTTACAGCTTTTTTATTGTATTCATTTTGGCGTTTTATGTGTGTCTACATTCAGCAAGTTCACATCAGAAGGAAACATCATTACTTGAACTCAAAAAAAGACCCATTGATATTTACAATATGTTTATTGTATGTACCAATTGCAATATGCTAAGCTATATTAATAAATTTATATTTACATTATTAAACAATTACATACAATACACTTTTATCAATAGCAGAGTTAAAAATACATAAGTTTCCAGCAAATTCAAGAGTTTGTTGAACGTTTTTTTACAGGGCATATTCCAGCATGTACTCCTTTTACATGTCGAAATAATATACTATTTGTTGAAAATGCTTTATTGCAAATTTTACAACTATGAGGACGTTCTTCAGTATGAGTTGTTCCATGTCGTACTAATGACATTTTTCTTACAAATGTTTTATTGCATATTTCACATTCATAAGGACGTTGTCCAGTGTGAATCTTTTTATGTTCATTTAAATTATGCTTTCTTTGGAATGTTTTATGACATATTTCACATTCATAAGGTTTTTCTCCACTGTGAATCATTTTATGTATTTTCAAATGTTGCTTTAATTTGAATGTTTTGTGACATATTTCACATTCATGAGGTTTTTCTCTGGTGTGAATCATTTTATGTCCATAAAAAGTTGCCTTTGTTGTGAATGTTTTATTGCATATTTCACAACCAAAAGGACGCTCACCGGTGTGAATCATTTTATAATCCTTTAAATTATCCTTCCTTTTGAATGATTTATTACATATTTCACATTCAAAAGGTCTTTGTCCAGTGTCAAGAAATTTATGTTGGTTCAAGTTCTTCTTTGTATTGAATGTTTTATGGCAAAATTCACAATTATATGGTTTTAGATTATTGTTTATTCTACATTTTTCAGAAACACTTTCAAATGATTTATTCGTGTTAGTTGAATTACTAATTTCTTTAGAAAATATGTAATGTTTTTCATCTATACTTGTATTAGTTGCAGCATCATGCCCATCGATATTTTCTTGCTTCATTTCCTCATCAATCGTAACCTCAGATTTTAGAAATTGCTGTAGGCATATTTCATCATTCTCCATACTCATATGTGAAGTGCATTCATAATCATAAAATTCTTGTTTCAATTGAAAATCTTGCACATCGATCCTTTCTTGCTTTATATCCTCATCAACAGTAACCTCTGATTTTAGAAATTGCTGTAGACAAATTTCATTATTCTCTATACAAATACCTGTGGTGTTTTCATAATCATCTAAATCTTGTTTAACTTGAGAATATTCGATCGGTTCAATTTTAATTGTTGTGGTTGAATTTGTTTCTTCGTACATTTTTGACTTTTGTAGGTTATGGTAATCGCCTAATCGCTCTCTAAAGATTCCTAAAAGTAGAAAAGCCTTGTTACTTATGTGTCATGAACGCATGATAATTATATTTTGAAATTTATTAACATATTATAATACCAACACTGACCTTTTTGTTATTATTTTATATTTTCATTTGCTTTATTTTTGCACTTTGTTAATTTGACAGTTCAACTTCGTTTAGGTTAGACGTTAGACAACATTAAAAACATTTCGCCTGCGAGTTTATCAACCAACATAGATAAATAAGATACCGAGAATTTGGAAATGACGACTTTGAATGATGCAATGATAATGAAAATTTAAATGAATACGTTTTACACTATTAGTAGGCCACAATCTATTCCTTTTCCTGGGTACTATATGATAATAATATATTATTTTAAATTTTGCCACCGTTAAATTTGAAGTTGAAATGTTTTTGGTGTTGCCCAATCAGAGCGAAGGAGCAATGTCAAACTGTCAAAGTGGGTAAATACAGCAAAGGAAAATATAAAATAATAAAAAGGACAGTGTTAGTATTATAACGTATCAATATATTTTAAAATATATTTATTGTACGATCATAACACATAAATTACAAGGCTTCTTGACTTCTAGGAAGGAAGAAGTCTTTTGACAGCCTACAAAAGTACCATAGCCTACAAAAGTCAAAAATGTCTGAAGAAGCGAATTCAATCACAATAATTAAAATGGAACCAATCGAAGATCCTCAAGGTGGACGACAATATGATGATGTGAATGCAAACGACGAAATATGTCTTCAGAAGTTTTTAGAATCTGAGGTAATTATTGATGAACAAATAAAGCAAGAAGTGATTGAAGGGCAAGAAGCTGTGACAAGTGCAGACCAGATAAGTGTAGATGAAAATTCTAGTACAAGTAATACAAAAATGGTTACAAAAAAACAACGAAAAACATATAGGAGACAATCTCATAAATGTGAAACTTGCAATAAAATATTGTCATCAAAGCAAGGATTAGAACATCATCAAATGATCCACACTGGAGAGCGCCCTTTTAAATGTGAGATATGTAATAAAGCATTCAAAGCTTTAGGTATATTAAACCGACATAAAGCTCGCCATGCCAGACCACGCTTATATAAATGTGAGAATTGCGATAAAGCATTCTTATCACAATATATATTGAGCCAACATGAAATGACCCATATTATACGCTCTTATCAATGTGAGATTTGCGGTAAAACATTCAATAAACAATGTATATTAAAAAAGCATCAAATCATCCACACCGGAGAACGCCCTCATAAGTGTCCAATGTGCAATGAGAGATTTATACAAACAAACAATTTAAAACTACATTTATTAAAACATGCTGGAGTGCGTCCTTATGCTTGTGCAACTTGTAATAGAACATTTCCGACAACAAATAGATTAAGCGAACATGAAATAAGCCATAGAGAAGAAAGACCTTATACATGTGAATTATGCAATAAAGCCTTCAAATCAAGAAAATACTTAAAAAAACACGAAGTTAGTCATAAGGGAGAATATTGTCATCAGTGTGACAATTGCGATAAAGTATTCAAAAGAAGACAGGAATTAACTGCGCACGAATTGACTCACTCTGAATGCATCTATAAATGTGAAACTTGCAATAAAACATTCTCAAGAAAAAAATCATTGAATATACATGAAAGAATCCACACTGGACAATGGCTTTTTAAATGTGAAATATGCTACAAAACTTTTACAACGAAACAATCATTAAAGTACCATGAAGTGATTCATACTGGGGAACGCCCTTATAAATGCGAAATATGCAATAAGGAGTTTACTCGATCAAAAACTTTGAGAGTGCATTTAACTGTGCATAGTGAAGATCGAGAGCATGATTGTGAAATATGCAATAAATCATTCAAAACAACACAAGCATTGAATCAACATAAAGTTGTTCATATTGAAAGTCCATATAAATGTGACAAGTGCAGCAACGCGTATAAAACAAAACGGTCATTAAAACGACATGCAAAAACTCATTTGGAATATTGAAAAAAAATTTCAAGTGGTTTAAAGAAAATATACATATTGTACCAGAGGGATATAGTATGATTTTTTTTATATGATGACGCTTATAGAAAGAATTTTAGGGATGAAGATTTTATTTTGTTAATTTTTAATTTATTTATAGTTATTATAGATTTATTCATATTGGAGTATGAGATGTTTGTTTTCTAATATTTTTTAATAAATAGATTTTGATTGCTTTCAGCACCATATTTTATATCTATTAGGAAATAATGACATTGAAAATTAATACATATTGATTTATTTACTTTCCATAGGGTGAGTTATAGTAATCTTCGAAAAATCAAAGTTGAAAATGTTTGCATATCTTCATGTTGAATGATACAATCATAGATAAAAGAAGAGTATGAAATAATACTACAATACAATACTACTAGGATACAATAATAATGCGAAAATTTAAATGAATACGTTTTACACCAAGGATGAGCAACCCGCGGTCCGCGGGCCATATGCGGCTCGCCGGATGTTTTTCTGCGGCCCGCCTAGCTTTTCTCAACAACAGATTATTTTGCTAGATATTTTATCAGATACGGCTGTAAAGGCTAATTTTGTCGTCAGTCGAAAAACTGTTGTTCGAAGAAATAGCATTTCCTAATAAAATAAATATTAATTTATTTAAATATTAGTTTAAAAAACTTGCAAGAAAAATCGAGAACTTGTCCGAGAATATGGCAACAAAGCATTTCTAAATTTAAAATAATTAAATAAGTGAATCTTATAAAGTCGCGAGTCGCGATCATCGTAAATTTAAAGACTTCCTGTGCGGCGATGTGCTTTTCAATACCAAAATACGCTATCTCAATTTTTTGTAGGCCTGTGTTATCCATGAATATATCATATTCTATTTTTGTCTAGGATATTATAATCAAATAGTACCAAGGAAAAGGGATAGATTGTGGTCTAATATTAGTGTAAAACTAGTGGAGTATGGCATCGTGCCTTAAGGTAAACTGCTGGAACTTCCCGCACCGTAATGAAATATTCGAGAAATTTTAAACGTTACTGTAACTTTCATTATTTTTGCTATCTTGTTATATATGAGCAAATCAAATGTAAATCATAAATCAATTTATCTCCAGAACATTAACAATCGTCATTTCATTTCGAATTCAATTTCAAAAAAAAGTTGCCTAATTTACACAAAATTGAAAAAATGCTCCCGTACATTCACAGTCTAAACGCGTTTGCAAATAACTCTGTGCGACATTTTTACTTATACTGTGCTTAGCTTGGTGGCATTTCGCATCTTTCAATAGTTTTACAAAATTAATTAAAAGTGCTCCAGTACACAGACAGTCTAAACGCACTTGGGTAATCATTTGTACCAGAGTGGCGCTTAGCCTGGGTAATTTTTTCAATTTTTAATCCCAAAATTACAAAAATATTTTATGAAAAAAAAATTAAAAACAACAATTTTTTTTCCGAAAGCAATTATTTTGTTAAAACAAGCAGAAAGTTCTTTGAATCATTTAAATCGGACGCTTAGTTCTCTCAAAAACTTCCATATTTTTAACATTTAGCTCTGTATTTTCGAAACCGCTAGGCCTACCTTTGCCAAAAGCTAATAACCACTTTTCCCTGTCATTACGAACTGAATGTTTTTTGGATCATACAAATAGGATGATCCGTTCTCTCAAAAACTCGATTTCTATTTTCTGCACTCTTTGCTCCATATCTCCGTAACGGCTGGACCTGCCTTTGCCAAAACTTATCAGCACATTTCCCTATTAATAGGAATCGAATGTTTTTTAAACCATTCAAATCAGTTGATCCGTGCGCTCGAAAACGTGACCGAAAAATTGTAATTATACATACATACACACACACACATCAGTTTTTTCTGGGGTATGCCAAAATGTTCAGAAACCTTCAAAATGTAAAGAAATGTAAACGTTTTCAATTTCGATTTTTAGACGATTACAATATACTTACCCTACGGGAAATTAATATGAATTATTTTCGATGTACAAAAAAAAATTCCAAAAGCAATTGTTTCGTCAACAAAAGCAAAAGTTTTTTGAATCATTCAAATTGGACGCTTAGTTCTCTCAAAAACTGCCATTTTCTGCTTATATACCTCCGTATCTTTGTAACGACTGGACCTGCCTTTGCCAAAAACTAATCAGCACGCCACCCTATCAATAGAAATTCATTGCTTTTGAAACATTCAAATCGGTTGACCCGTGCGCCCGAAAACGTCGATGAAAAATTGTATCCATGCATGTTCTGAAACAATTCCAATAATTTACCTTCGATAATATCTTACGTTCATAACATTTTTTAACTTTCCGTAGGGTAAGTTATAGTGATCGAAAATGAAAATTTTCAAATATCTTTACGTTTCAAAGGTTTCTGAATATTTTGGCATACTTTAGAAAGAATGGATGTATGTGTGTGTGGATACACATTTTTGTCGACGATTTCGGGAACACCGATCAACCGATTTGAATAATTCAAAAAACATTCAATTCTTATTGATAAAAGGGACGTGCTTTGGCGAAGGCAGGTCTAGCCGTTTCAAAGATACAGGGCACAAAGTACAAAAAATGGCAGGTTCTGAGAGAACAAATCGACCGATTTGAATGGTTTAAAATCATTCGATTCGTATTGATGTGGAGACGTACTGATTAGTTTTTAGGCAGATTCAGAGCAAAAAGTGCAGAAATTCCAGACACTGTCGTTCGCGTTAGTAGATAAGAAAGTCAAAACTGATCGGGTTTGAATCCCACATTTGTAATATTTTTTTTAATTTTTTTAAATTTTTTTTTATGTTACTACTACTTGAACTATTTAAAATTGTTAACTCAGTGTATATATTTTGCGAACGAAAAATTGATACATTTGAAATAAAATATGTTTATTCTAACAATAGAACTGCTTAATTAGATTTTGTTCATATATATATTTCATTCAAACATATCCAAACAACGTCGTCTAATCTAATGAGTTTACACATTTTGTCTAAAAGGAACAATTCGCATAGACAATTTTGTTGACTGATTATTTTTATTCTTTGAATGTTTAATTACGGTACCGGAAGTTCCAGCAATTTGTCTTAAGGCACGATGCCATGCGCCCCACTAGTCAATGATAATATCAAACCTCAATCCTTAATTTCTGAAACTATATACTCTATGATTTTATATTTTGCTGCCCATATGTAACGGCGTTGTCGCCGTTGTTCTCGCCGTTATATTAATGTTTTCAATGTTGTTCATACTGATCCCATGCTAATGTGAGAAATAATTATTTTCTAGGATTAGAAATGTCAAAGTGCTTTTGAATTTATATTGAATTTAATTTATACTCAAGTATATTCAATATATATTAAAATATTCAACAACTTATAATATATACAACAATTTATACTTCTTATAAAAGTTTATATGTAATAACGAAAACTGTTCTAACTTTTTAGAAATTATTGTTTACCTTTACCAGAACCTACAGACGGCCAAAATGTCTGAAGCAGCGAATTCAATCACAACAATTAAAATTGAACCAATCGAACATCCTCAAGTTGAACAAGAATTTGATAATGTGAATGGAAACGACGAAGTAAGTCTTCAGAAGTTTTTAGAATCAGAGGTAATTATTGATCAAGGAATAAAGCAAGAAGTAATTGAAGGTCAAGAAGCTGCGACAAGTGCAGATCAGATAAGTGTAGATGAAAATTCTAATACAAGTAATACAAAAATGGTTACAAAAAAAAAACGAAAAATCTATAGGAGACAATCTCATAAATGTGAAATTTGCAAAAAATATTGTCATCAAAGCAAGGATTAGAACATCATCAAATGATCCACACTGGAGAGCGCCCTTTTAAATGTGAGATATGTAATAGAGCATTCATAGCATTAGGTATATTAAACCGACATAAAGCTATCCATGCCAGAGTTCTTTTTTATAAATGTGATACTTGCAATAAAGCATTCACATCAGAATATATATTAAGCCAACATAAACTGAGCCATATTATACACTCTTATGAATGTGAGATTTGCGGTAAAACATTCAATAAACAATATCCATTAAAAATGCATCAAACAATACACACAGGAGAACGCCTTCATGAGTGTCTAATATGCAATGAGAGATTCATACAAACAAACAATTTAAAACTACATTTATTAAAACATGCTGGAGTGCGTCCTTATGCTTGTGCAACTTGTAATAGAACATTCCTGTCAAAAGCTAGATTAACCGAACATGAAGTAAGCCATACTGAAGAAAGACCTTATACATGTGATTTATGCAATAAAGCCTTCAAATCAAGAAAATACTTAAAAAAACATGAAGTCAGTCATAAGGGAGAATATCGCCATGAGTGTGACAAATGTGATAAAATATTCAAAAGAAAACAAGAATTAACTGTGCATGAATTGACTCACTCTGAATCCATTCATAAATGCGAAACATGCAATAAAACATTTGCGAGAAAAGATACATTAAATGCACATAAAAGGTTGCACACTGGACAAAGCGTTTTTAAATGTGAAATATGCTACAAAACTTTCTCAACAAAACAATCATTAAAGTACCATGAAGTGATTCATACCGGGGAACGCCCCTTTAAATGCGAAATATGCAATAAGGACTTTACTCAAATGAACGTTTTGAGAATGCATTTAACTGTGCATAGCGAGGATCGAGAGCATGAATGTGGGATATGCTATAAATTATTCAAAACAAGTCAAGCATTGAATCAACATAAAGTTGTTCATATGGAAAGTCCTTATAAATGTGACAAGTGCGGCAATGCATATAAAGCAAATCGGTCATTAAAACGACATGCAAAAACTCATTTGGAATATTGACACATTTTTTCAAATTGTTTAAATATTGTACCAGAGGTATATAGTACGATTTTTTTTTAAATCATGTGATAACGCGGATAGAAAGAAATTTAGGGATGAAGATTTTATTTAGTTAATTCTTAATTTATTTATTGTTATTATAGATTTATCCATAATGGAGAGTATAACATGTTTGTTTTCTCTTTTTTTTTTTAATAAAAACATTTTGATTGATTTCAACACCATATTTTATATCTTCTAGTCAATAATTGAAAATTTATAATCTTTATTGATTTTTTGTATTTTTATTCAAAGAAATCGCGCTGCTGCATCGCTGCTGTTTAGTGTAGTGTAGATTCTAATTTGATTTTAACAATTAGATTTTTGAGTATTTTAAAATGCTCGAAAAAATGAACTTGGACTTTATTGAAAAATTTGATTTTTTTTATATTGATTTTTTTTGGACTTTTTGTATTTTTATTCAAAGCAATCGCCCTGCTGTTTAGATTCTAATTTGATTTTGATAATTAGATTTTTGAGTATTTTGAAATGCTAAAAAAAATGGATTTTGTTGAAAACATTGAAATATTTTGTTTTATATTCCTTTTTTTTGGACTTTTTGTATTTTCATTCAAAGCAATCGCGCTGCTGTTTGGATTTTAACAATTACATTTTTGAAATGCTCAAAAAAAATTGGACTCTATTGAAAAATTTGAAATATTTTTTTATATTGATTTTTTTGGACTTTTTGTATTTTTATTCAAAGCAATCGCGCTGCTGTTTGGATTTTAATTCGATTTTAACAATTACATTTTTAAGTATTTTGAAATGTTCAAAAACTAATGGGACCTTATTGAAAAAATTGATTTTTTTTTGGACTTTTTGTATTTTTATTCAAAGCAAACGCACTGCTGTTTAGATTGTAATTTGCAAAATATGCACATCAAATTATAAAATATTTTATGGAGATTTTAATAATGTGTATCAATCTTGTTTACATTTCTGTGGGTTTCGTAACATTTTTGTCCGTTAGACGGCGACGTGGCGCTTACGCGCTTCGATATTGCCTCTTTATGCAGGTAAAGCAGTGCGATTGCTTTGAAAAAAGTTCAAAATTTGCAAAGTATTTCAAACTAAAAAAAAAACATTTTTTCCAAAAGTTTTTTTTTCCGAAAACGTAATTTTTATTCAAAAATTTAAAATTTCTCAAAAATCTTTTTTTTTTCAAAGTTAAAACATATTTAATCTTTTTTAAAAAATTGAATTTTTGGAACGATGCCAAACGCCACTAGTTTATATTATGATTTTTTTTTGACTTTTTGTATTTATATTCAAAGCAATCTGTGCTGTTTAGATTCTAATTTGATTTTAACAATTAGATTTTTGAGTATTTTGAAATGCTCAAAAGAACAAAGACTTGATTGAAAAAATTGAAATATTTTTTTATATTATGATTTTTTTTTGACTTTTTGTATATTTATTCAAAGCGATCGCGCTGCTTTTTAGATTCTAATTTGATTTTAACTATTAGATTATTGAGTATTTTGAAATGCTCAAAAAAGTTGAACTTTATCGAAAAATTTGGAAAAAAAATTATATTATGATTTTTTTTATATTAAGTATATGTTTTTATATTTTTTATGACTTTTTTTGGACTTTTTGTATATTTATAATGTAGATTATAAAATTTATAATGTTTAACCCTTCTGGAAATTTAATTCATTCTATAAAATACCTGGCAATTTACGTCTACAGTTTATTTTTTATTGTCAAAAGGATTCGTTTTTTTTTTGTTTTTGTTGTTAGATCTCCTAAACTGATAGACCTGCCTTTACAAAAGTTTATTTTGTCAATACAAGTAAAATGTTTCTTGGAGTTACCATTTCTTTACCTTTTGGCCCCGTATTGTCAGAAAGGCAGGACTTGCCTTCGCCAAAAACTAATCAACACTTCTCATCAATAGGAATTATCGCACATACATACCCACGCTTACATAAATTTTTTCTAAGGTATGCCGACCTGTCTACACCAAAAACTAATCAGCACATCTCCTCGTAAATACAAATCAAATCAAAATTTGAATTATTTACGGATACTTTGTTCTCCCGAAAACTGTCATTTTTTACACTTTAGCTCCTTATCTCTAAAAAAAACTGTAATCACCATGTCTTCTCACCATTACGAATTGAATGTTTTTTGAATCATTCACATCGGATGTCTTGTTTTCTCATAAACAATTTCCCTTTCTGCACTCTTTGCATGGTATCTCCGAAACATTAAGACCTGTGTTTGCCAAAAACTAATAAGCATTACTAATCTCCATAATTAGGAATCGAATGGTTATTGAATCATCCAAATCGGTTGAGTGGCACTCTCAAAAACGTCGTCAAAAAATTGTATCTACATATACATACATACACACACATATATAATTTTTTTCTGAAATATGCCAAAATGTTCAGAAACTTTTAAAACGTTTAAGATGTGCAAAAATTTTCATTTTTGATTTTTCGACGATTACAATAACTTACCCTACAAAAAGTTAATGATATTAAACCAAAAAATATCTTTTTTAAATGATATAATCTACAAATGCAAACAACACACACACATATATGATTTTTTGCTGAGATGAAAAATGTTCAGAAACCTTCGAAACGTAAAGATATGTAAACATTTTAATTTCTCGAAGGAGAAGTTTATGTTTTCATCAAAAAATCCGAATCGCTAATTTTATGTTTTCTCGACGTTTCAAGCCATTCTGAATCGAATGAGACTAAAGTAGGAAAAAGTATGTGTGTGTGTGTGTGAGTATGTGCTAGCGTGTGAGTGAACAGATTTTTTGCCGTAAATCGACGTTTTCTCAAAAACGGCTGCACCAATTTCAAAAATTTAAAAGCCATTTGATGTATCTCGATGAGGACTAGCGTTTATTAATTTTGTGCGACAATCATCCTAACTGTTTCTTAGTAAATAGCAAAAAAGTGAAAAAAAAAAAATTGTCCACGCTTTAGTCCGTAATTCTGAATAGATTTTGAAAATTCAAAAAACGCTCAAAAGATATTGATTGGGAATCGTGCTGATGAGTTTTGGTAGAGATCGGCCAAGACGTTTTCTTGTAATAAAGTATTGAAAAAAAATTTTTCGACGATTTTTATTATTATTTTTTTGACGGTAGATAGTCTTCTAGGTCATACTAAAATATTAAGGCTCTACGACAACTCGCTTAGCCTTAAAAATTCGTCAAAGTTTGCAAAAATTGGTATCGTTTTTCGGCATTTGTCAAAATTAGACCATTCATCGAAGTTTGCTTAAAAACGCCTGAACCCATTTCAAAAATTTAAAAACCATTTGATGTATCTCGATTAGGATTATAGTTTCTTAGTTTTGTGCGACGGTCAGCCAAGCCGTTTTTTTGTAATTTGGAAAAAAGTGTTATACTTTTTGTTCACTTTTAAACTTGTACTACCGAATCGATTTTAAAAAATAAAAAACTGTTTGAAAGATGTTAGTTGGGAATAATACTGAATAGTTTTAGGTGAAAATCTACCTAGCCGTTATCTTGTAATTAACTGTTGAAAAAAAATTGAACCGATTTTTATAGAACTTTTTTTGGCGATACATTTCGTGGTTAAAATTAAAATTAGACGATTTATTTGGTATAACGATAGAGTACTTGGTCTTAATGAACATACTAAACCATTAAAGTCTTACGGAAACTGGTTCAATTATGAAAATTATTGATTTTTGAAAATTTGCTTTCAGAAAATACTCTAGTTCACGTGTTCGTTCGTTTTCAATGTATGTGTAATAAATCCTCGTACTTTTAGTCACTCATAAATTAATTTATTTTTTATTGAATAAGTCGATTATTTGAACATATCGGGAAGTTCATGTAACTTGCCTCAAGGCAAAATACCGATATCAACTAGTTAAATTATATAATCTACATATTCAAACATGCACACACACACACATATAAATTTTTTATGAGGTATGAAATGTTCAGAAACCTTTGAGAGGTAAATATATGCTAAAATTTTCATTTTCGAATTTTGGACGATTACAATAACCACGATAACTTACTCTACATGAAGACAATAAGTTTTTAAATTTTAAATCAAAATCTATCTTTTTTGTGAAATTATATAATCTATGATATCATTAATCGATAACTTCGCAGATGAAATGTTTCCAACGTTGGCCATCCTTACCTCAAGTTTGGTATTTTTTTGATTACAATAGAAATGTCACTTTGCAATTATATTGAATTTGAACAAAAGTATTATAAATATATATTAAAACATATTTTTTATACTTTTAAACTTTCTTATAAATATAAATAATAACTTATAATATAGAATTGAAAGCCTTTTCCACCTTTTATAAGCCATTATTAGTTTGATTACAATAACCAAGAGACGCCGAAAATGTCAGAAGAAACGAATTCAGTAACAACAATTAAAATGGAACCAATAGATTACCCTCTAGTGAAACAAGAAATTGATGATTATGTTATATCAGAAATATGCCCAGAAAGCGAGGGAATATATCTACATCCAAATTGGAATTCTGAGGTAACAATGGAGGAAGAAATAAAACAAGAAACAATTGATGACCAACATAAGGTCATTAACAAAAATGTAAAAAGTGGAGATGATACACTTCATATATATAGTGAAAAAGATAGTAATTCAGGTAATATAGTAGATAAATATAACAAATCATTCAAAACTATTTTAAATGATCCTAAAGCAACCCACAAATGTGAAATATGCCACAAAACATTCAAAACTAGACAAATTTTAAAATTACATAAAGTAAGTCATAGTCAAGAACGCCCTTTTAAATGCAAGACATGCAATAAAGCATTCAAACTAAGACAAACGTTAATCAATCATGAAGCGATTCATTCCCAAACACGGCCTGATAAATGCGAAATATGCGACAAAACATTTGCATCAAAACAATCACTAAAACAACATCAAATGCTCCACACTGGAGAACGTCCTTACAAATGTGAAATATGTTCTAAAACATACATTCAAAAACAAGCGTTGAGGTTTCACAAATTAACTCATACAGCGGAACAACCTTTTGAATGTGATAATTGTGGTGAAACTTTTACTATGAGATCTGCATTAAACCTTCACAAAATTATTCATACCGGAGGCAATCCTTATCAATGTGAAGTTTGCAATAAAACCTTTGCAACAAAATTCTCATTAAACAGACATGAAATGATTCATACTGGTGAACGGCCTTATAAATGCGAGGAGTGCAGTAAATCATTCAAAACAAAAGCTATATTAAAACAACATGAAATGATCCACACTGGAGAACGTCCTTATATCTGTTTGGTATGCAATAAAGGATTTAGACGATCAGAACATGTAAGAAAACACTCCAGGGAGCACCTTCGTGAAGATGAAGCATGTAATAAATCATTCGTAACAAAACAATTATCAAGCCAACCTGAAATGGTTCAAAAGGTAGATTGAGGTCATTGAGGTCATCTAGATAAACTTCTTCAAAAACTTTTGTATTTGTTTGTTGAAAAATAGTACATTTTATGTATACTGAAAAAAATTATTACAACGTAAGTAAAATGTTCTTTAATTATTTATTAACTTCCATTACAAATAAATCTAAAATATATTTTTTTAAACATCTTTGCTTTTTATTTTTTATTTATTTTGTTTATTTATTTATTAGATATAATTCGTACATACTGTATCTCAGTCAGACAATTGTTCTGGTATGAGAGATCACAGCAATTATAACAAAAATAAATCTAAATTTTATGTAACAGGCTTACATTAAGACATCTATATATTTTTACTTATTACTATTATATACACAGAAAGATTGCGTACATACATACATATGCACTTATACTTAATTGTAATTAATATTTTTACAGAACAGAAGTAATATAGTATTTAAAATAAGGAATTTTATCTAATTTATTTCATTTATCTCTCATGTAATTTTTCAATTTAATTTTGAAATTGGTTAGGTCCGTCATTGTCTTTAGTTCGTCCGGTAGTTTATTGTAAAGGCTGCTTGCACTTTTCAGAGGACTTGCAAGTCCTTTACTAGTTTTTCCATGTTTCATGTGAAAGTTTCGGTTTTGTCTCGTTTGATGGTGTATATCCTGGTTTGTCTCTATTTTGGTACCTTAGGGGGCGTCCATTAATCATATTAAATTAATCATAAATTTTACATTTTTTTCTGGTGACTAAAAATACATGTAATGTTTGATGCGTGGGGGGGGGGGGGTGATTTTGAATATCACCACGTATCACCAAGGCGGAGGGGAGGGGTCCGATAATCCGTAAAATATCGATCATGTGATTAATGTACGCCCCCTTACAACATAGTTTTTATATGGAAATAAATTATATCTCTTCTTCCGTATTATTGCTGATATTAATACAAAATTATAATGCTTCAGGAATCACTTAACATTTATATGATAAGTTTCATAAGTAATATCAAAATAAAAATTTACAGGAGGATTTTCTTATGGAATATTTAGCGAAAAATATAAAATTAATTGAAAAATCAAATAAATTTTGATATTATTTACACGTGAAATTTTAAATATCAAATAAAAGTAATAAAAAAATTATATCTGAATCGGGAATTGAACCCCGGAGTTCAACTATTGATATGGAAAAGCATTGCAAGCTATGCATGCCGCGCGCTGCTACAAATGCAAACTTTAATTAATTTTTATAATTAAACCGCTTTTCATAGGCCTCTTATACTTTACCACGGTCAGTTTGGGCATCAAATCTACCATTGTGCCAAGTTTCATCAAAATCCGAGACGAGCAACGCGCGGGTTCTCCTTATTAGAAAAATTAATGTGTGGTTATGGGTGTGTATGTGTGTATGTAAGTGCAGATACAATTTTTTGTCAACAATTTTGGGAACACGGTTCAGCCGATTTCAATGATTCAAAAAACATACGACATCTTATCAATATATTGATAAGTGATTCAATGACTAAATTTTTTTTAATAAAGTCATTACAAAATTTTCAAAAATTTATTTTTTTCAGTTTTCGAATAGTTCTGAACTTTTTTAAAAATTTAAATTTTTTGTACGGGAAGTTTTAGCAAATTGCCTTAAGGCACGTTGCCATGCACAACTTCCAAAGTTTATTAACTTTCGAAAAGAAGCTTATGTTTTTGTGAGAAAATCCGATTTGTTAATTTTATGTTTTTTCGACGTTTCAACTCATTCTGAATCGAATGAGACCAAAAAAGTATGTGTTTATAGTGTGTATGTGAGTCGATTTTTTATCTTTCATCGAGGTTATTTTTTTAAACATGGTTGTTACAACTAAAAAAATTTAAAAGGTATCCGATGAAACTTGATAATCACTTGCGATGGTTAATTTTTTAACTTCCCGAAGCAGAAGTTTGTTTTCATAAAAAAATCCGATTTGCTAATTTCATGTTTTCTCGACGTTTCAACTCATTCTGAATCGAATGAGACCAAAAAAGTATGTGTGTGTGTATGTGAGTCGATTTTTGATCTTTCATCGAGGTCATTTTTTTAAACATGGTTGTTACAACTTAAAAAATTTAAAAGGTATCCGATGAAGCTTGATAATCACTTGCGATGGTTAGTTAGTTTTTTTAACTTTCCAAAGGAGAAGTTTGTTTTCATTAAAAAATCGATTTGCTAATTTTATGTTTTCTCGACGTTTCAAGCCAAGTATTTGTGTGGGTGTTTACGGTGTTTATTTATCTATAATAATATATATATATATATATATATATATATACATAGCTGGGCATTAACTCGTTAATCCGTTAATCGTTAATTAACGAAGTTAACATTTTGATTAACGGATTAACTTTTAAGTTAACTTTTGAAAATGTTAACGGACACGTTAACTTCCGTTAAAATGCCAGAAGTCCGTTAATCGTTAATCCAATGCCCAGGACCGTGCCTGGCCAGCGTGCAGTGCGTGCACCGCACGCAGGCGGCCGCCTTTTGAGACGGCCGAGGGGCGGCCAAATGAAAAAAAGAACAAATTCAAAGACGGCCATAACAAAAAATGGTCGAAATAAATAGCTGTTGCATTAAAAGTCTACTGAATTAAAAGGCGGCCAAATTAAAAGACTGTTGGATTAAGAGGCGGCCAAGCTCAAAGTCCGCTGAACTCATTCGCTGCCGTAAAGTCCGCTGTATATATCTAAAAGACCAAAAATACCGTAGTAAAAATCAGCCAAAGGCGGCCCTATTGAATGCGACTCTGTTTCTAAATAATTTATAAGTTATAAACTTGGTGTAAGTGGCAACTTTGCCTAAATCAAGTTGCATGAAGTATCCAACATGTGTTAATAATCGACTTAACGATGAAAATATATTAATTCATGAGTACATTGCAATGTGAAAAACTATCGCAGATTATTCAATTTTGTACAAATTTTTTAAAAATATTAGTTATGTTTTATAAATAGTTTAAAAATTACATATTATTGAACAAGAAACAAACTGTAGTAAATTAAAAACAAGACCCAAATTTCCAAAGCAATTTGTTAATCAATAACTGAAAAACGACTCGTCGATTATTGACAAAATTTAATCAGCAAGATTCTCAAATGGAAAACGTTTGTAATGGTTTTTGAATTTTTAAAATCAATTCACTAATTAAAAATTTGAGACTTTTTTGAAAATTCTAAAGGCAAAACTAAGCAGCACGAGTGCTTATCGAATTTACGAATTTTGACGATTTTTCAAATGGGATTGTGCATTTTTGAGAAAATGTCGACTAAAGATGAAATTTTGACTCACGTAAAAAAGCGCCGCTCATTTTTGCAATCTTTGATAGTACATATTTTAAAAATTAAAATGACTTAATGTGGGTCGAAATATTTAGTTATCTCAGAGACCATGATCACTATCGCCAAAAAAGTTTTATAAATATCATCGTAAAGCAATATTCACCAATTAAACACGAAGAAACGAACCGACCGATCTGTTAGAACTAATCAGCACGATTCCTAAATGATATCTTTCAAACAGTTCCTGAATTTTTAAAATCGATGCAGAATTTTTGGCTAAAACGTGTACAATAAATTTTATATTTTTCTGTTGATTAGAAACAGCTTGGCCGATCGTCGCACAAAACTGACAGGCGCTAGTCATTATCTAGTTACATTAAATGACTTTTAAACTTTTGAATTGGATTTAACCGTTTTTGAGAAAACGTTGCCGAAAATTCAAAAATCGGCTTTCAAACGATTCAGAATGACTTAAAATGTCGAGAAAACTTGAAAATTACAAGACGATTTTTTTCGTGAGAACATATTGGATATTTCCCTATTATGCTATTTTTAAGGGCGGCCATTTATATGCTCGCACGCAGGCGGCCACATACCCAGGCACGGCCCTGCCAATTATTACTATTTACCGCACGGCACAGCTTTAGCCAATGCCTTATTAAATGACATAGAGAAAAGATTTGGACCACTCGTGAATGATGAACAGTGCCAACATGTTCAAAAGACTTGTTCAACGATGCTGCATTCGTCTGGGATAACAGATATTCATAAATCTATTTATTAAATACAATACTGCTATACCCTCAAGCGCTGCAGTTGAACGTTTGTTTTCCACGGGTAAAGACATTTTGACACCAAAACGAGCCTCGCTTTCAGACGAGAACTTCAACATGTTAATGTTCATGAAGGGGAATATGCACCTTATGCCCGACGCTTAACCCGTCGCGCGTTTCCTATTTTTCGCAAAAAAACTCTTTCCCTTTATTTAGAAAAAAATTCTTGTAAAACAATATGCAATCATAAAACAGAAAGTTGACCAATAGCGTTATTATCACGGTGTGTGCATAAAGCGCGTCGCGCCATTAAGGGGTTGAATTACACATTTGAATTATACAAGTATTTTGTTTTATTCATAACCTGTTAACTTCCAGAACCTAAACCAATAAGTTTTTTAAGTTCACTAACGCAACAATATAAAAATGTAATTCTATACATATTAACGGATTAACGATTAACGTTAACTTGCGTTAATTATTCCGAAATGTAACGCTTTAACGTTTAACGAAGCTAACTTTTTTTGTAGCGGATTAACGATTAACGAAGTTAACTTTTTGATTAACGGTGCCCAGCTATGTATATATATATATATAATTTGCAATATTAGTCGAAAAAAATGTTTCAACAGTTAATTACTTGTGCCAACGAATCTTTACCAAAACTAATCAGGTCGATTCCCAATTAATACCCTTTGAACGGTTTTTGAATTTTTAAAATCAATTCAGAACTGCGGGCAAAAACATTTTTTTTTTATTATTTTAATAATTTTTACAACTATCCTGAAACGGATAACAAGTAAAATATAACAGGCAAAAACATGGATGAAAAATTTTCACTTTTCTGCTATTTACAAAAAACTTTTAACTATTCACAAGTCCTTATCGAGTTACACCGAACGGCTTTTAAATTTTTGAAATCAGTCCAGCCGATTTTGAGAAAACGTCGAATTACGGTAAAAAATCTGAAAAAACTTACGGGAGAGTAGGTCTAAAGATAAAACTTAAAGTTATCTATGGTTAAAACAGTAGTGTTGGCTACTCTGTTCGCCGGCTAAAGCAAACTTAGTCGGCAGATCTACTTACTCTCTTATCTATGGTCTTCATTTCATAAATGTCAAAATTAAAAGATTATTTTTATCAACGGTCTACTAAAATAATAAACGAACATGCTTTCTAATCAAGTAAATAATGTCAAAAAATGGTTTAATGAAAAACATATTAAAATACAAGATATCTGGTTGACACAGTAAGTAAATTTTCCATAAAAAACAGGTATCAGACAAGTTTACCATTGTCAATAAAAACGGTTAAGAACTTGTTAATCAATGTAATTACTTACAAGCAAATATATTCAATTTTTTTTTACTATTGAAATGTTTTCTTATAAGTATTTAGATAGAAGATAATATTTATTACATTTACAGATGTGTCGAATATTTCTTGTCTGAAAACCAAAATATGTCTCTTCAAAATCTTCAAGAAGAAGCTTTTCAACAATGGCTGTTAAATGATCTAGCTGATACTACATCAAATTCTCTTCCGGAGTTAGATAAAACAACAAAAGTGCTTCCTGGAAGTTTTGTATTACAGATCCAGAAATTAATTGATATAAGTAAATATTCTTTGTAGTAATTTTTATTAATGCAATTTAGTTTATTAATTGTATACTTATGTCAAATAGGTGCAAGTGCATATAGTCAAATTCAAAAACTGTACAATTTACCAGTAGAACAGACCGAAGAGGAAATGGAAAAAGAGAAAAGGTTAGTTAGATCATTGTATCAACTGATTTTTGTCTAATTAAAGATAATATTTTCATAGCACTAAATAACAACTTTTGCATCTTCCAAGCAACATCATAATTTCATATAAATAACCAATAAACCGAATCTGATACAATTTGATTTCATTATGATTATTGAATTATTTACCATTCAAGGAGCTTTTCAAATATCGAAACAAAAAGTGATAAGATGGTGCAAGTCTATGTCATTATTTATTGGATGTGAATGTAGACATGGGAATTAATCGTTCCGATGAGTAATAAGAGTTCAAACTGCAATCGAAACCTTCTTCTGATAACTATCGGCTTTTTTTAACTGGTTGATATGAACTGCTGCATGGCCATTTCGCTTGATGTACACAACCCGTTTTTCATTGTCAGTTAAAAATGGGTTATTTTCTTTTTGATTATGCATTTCTTTCAGTTTTGGAACCAATGTATTGAGTTTTTAAGCACATGCAAATTCTTTTAGGTGGTACATGAAACTTCTTTGTGATATCACGTGTTGCACTAAAAAATCCTAATTCTAATTGATTATTGCTTTGATTAGGTAATCAACTTTTCATCACTGAGGCTATGACTAATTTTCACACTGCCATTTTTTTAGAGGCCACAAAAAAAGCCAAAATTAGTGGTGTATGGCATTGTGCCTCAAGACAAATTGCAGGAACTATCCGTACCATAATGAAATTTTCGAGGAATATTAAATGTTTTCAAATAGAGTATTATAAATACTGTAACTTTGTCTAATATTTGTAAGAACTATATAAACTGAATTACAAAGTTAAAATTATTTATTTAAAGTATATAAATGAGCTTTAGAACTTCAGTCAGAATTAAAATTAAAATCTGAATTAGTTTTGATATACAACAAAAATTTTTTTTGCAAAAAATAAAATTAATTTTGAATTAATTCTTTTTTCCAAAAACAATTGTTTTGTCAATACAAGCAGAAAGTTATTGAATCATTCAAATCATATGCTTAGTCCTCTCAAAAACTTTTTGTACATTTAGCTCTGTATCTTTGCGAAAACTAATCAACACTTCCCGCAATCATTACGAATTGAATGTTTTTTGGATTATTCAAATCGGATACTCCGTTCTCTCAAAAACTTGATTTCTATTTTTTGCACCTTTTGTTCCGTATTTCCGTAACGGCTGGACCTGCCTTTGCAAAAAACTAATCAGCACATCTCCTTATCACTCGAATGTTTTTTTAACAATTCAAATCGGTTGATCCGTAGCCCGAAAACGTGGATGAAAAATTGCAAACACACAAAACACGTATTAGGGTAGTCCTTAATATGGACATTTTTTAATTTTCTTGCTTCCAAGGGCTCAAATGGTTCCAAATTGATAAAAAACAATTTTCTCCAAGTTTTAGTTCTTAATATTGGTTTTTAAATAGTGTGCAATTCAATCAAAGTTTTGTACGGAAATAGCATGAAATTTTTTTAATAATGTTTTTAGATATAATTTAGCGAACAAATGAATGAGTTTTATTTAAAATTTGTCGCTAGGTTATACCTAATTTTTTTTTTTAATTTTCAAGATGTTTTTCATGTTTCAATATCACACTTAATTTTACCACACAACATAATTGCTTCAATAATTTGGTCTATAATTTTTATAATCTTGTATGATATATTAGTTGCTTTTTGGCAATTATAATTTCTAAAGTAAATTTTTTTATTAATAATTTAATAAACATTATTGTTTATGTTCAAACATTGGGTGGATTAATTTGAGAAATCTAGTTTATATGAGCACTCTTCAATCTAAGATCAACTTGATAAATATTCCATGTCCAATGCCAAACAAATTAATTTTTGGCATAAGAATCTAATTTCTAAATCAATTTTTTAATAAGTAGAAATATTTTATTCTATTGTTAAATAATTTAGTAAAGTAAACTAAAATGCTACATGCATAAGTCCAAAAAATTTATGTATATACAATTTTGGACTTATTGCGTTTTTTTATTTAACTGAATTACATAACTTTATCTGCCAAACATATATTGTTGACTGTATCTTATATTATTATAATTTCTGGATTATATCAGCTGCTTTTCGGCAATAATAATATAGACATTACATTTTTTGTATATGATATTCTAATATTATCTAGGCTCACAATTTCAGCTAAATGTTTTCAATCTTTTGGAAATTTTTGACAAACTCTAAAACGAATGATCAAAACCCGAATAACCGTTTAGGAGAAATATCAAATCATACACCCGTACAGAAGAATTTTATATATAAGATTATTAATCTTTCTAGATTAATAATCTTATATATAAGTAAAATTCTTAACTTAAGAATAATGTCACTATCGTATGAATTAGCAAATCGGATTTTTTGCGAAAACATAAACTTCTCTTTTTGGAAGTTAATAGGCTTTGAAGTGTAATTTTATGCCTAATTACTCTATTTTTTAAACAGTTCACGAGTCCTAAAATTGTTTTTATCTGATGGAACGAAAGAAATTCAAGCTATGGAATATAGACAGATTAAGTGTTTGTCACTTAACACAGCACCTGGCAGTAAAATAATTTTAAAAGGTACCATCTGCACCTAATTATGCTAAATATTACTGATTATATTTATTAATTTCTTTATTCCATTTCAGGCCCAATAAATGTTAGCTCTAGTGGGATGTTATATTTGGAAAATCATCATGTTACTTTCCTTGGCGGTGAGGTTGAGACACTATTGGAACCGAATTCTGTGATAAATACATTGTTAAAGTCTATAAACCTGTCAGCAGATAGTAGTTTATTAAGTAAGTCATAACAGATTGCTATTACAATCTGTCAATCCACCCGGTGTCTTGATCTGGTGAGGTTTTCCGTGTTAAGCCAATTTAAGTCCACTCCTTGTAGTGACCTTCTATCGATTCCTTTAAATTTGCATCCATACTTTCCCGGAACTCAAACTTTATAGAAATGCCGAATGCAAAGTACAGTTAAGTTTGACCAACTATTCATACTATTCGATATTTCTATAAAAAAAACACATTATGAAGTATTATACATTGTTAGACAAGTCTCAAAATTCTTAGTTTATTTTCCATATATCCCTCCTATCTATTGACTAGACCAGTGGTTGGAGAACCGGGGTAAATGACCCCAAATGGAGTAAAAATGGGATTATTGGGGATAAAAAGTATATATTTTTATTTAATAATTACTGTATTTTCTACATAGTTGTATGTATGGAAGTAATCTCTTTTTGCTAAGGGGGTTATATCAACTTAGACAAAAATATGTGGGGGTGATTATTGAAAAAGTTCCCCAATCGCTAGACTAGACATATAAAAATGAATGTACATATGTCTGTCTCTGTATGTACTATGAATTCATAAACCATACATCCGATCGCCATGGAAATTTGGGAAACTTTTAGGTATATCCCCGGACAGGTTTTTGCATATTTTGATTGAAACCAAGTGGTAGGGGTTGGCCACCCCAAAGTTTTTTTTAGGTCAATTTTTATTATTTTATAATGCATCTAAAAACACATACAACCCTATATTTTCACCCTCTTACCACAAACCCATATTTTGTAAGAGTTATTATAGTAATTACATCATTTTTCATCTCGATTTTTGTCAGTGAACGTTTTTGATTGGATTTTGTTTGAGATTTTTTGAGCTTATGAACAAGCTCAATTATACATAAAAAAAATTTATTCAATTTATTGTTCCAAAGTTTTAATTTCCACACTATATTGGAAATTGAAGTTTTTTAAACCGCATAACAAGTTCAGAAAAAATTAATATATAGTATCTGCAGCAAAAGTACAATATTTCCTTGAATTTTTCCACCCAAAAAATTGCTCTAATAATGTTGCCTATAATTTTTATAATCTCGTATCATATTTTAACTGGTTTTTAGTAATTATAATATCTAAATTCCTCTTTTCTCGGTAATAATTTAATATACCAGGCGCCTGGGGTCCTCGGACCTCGCATGCCATTTTTTTTCTAGCTCCCCCTCCCCTATTATTTTATTATTATTATTTATTAACAGTTTATTATTAAAATTATTATCACTAATTAATATTTGGCTTTTGAAACATTTTACTTATTTATTTTGGGCATTATAAGCGATTTATTCTCTCATTATTGAACATAACCATAACATAACACTGGTACTCCATGTTAGATTATTTTAATTTAATTTTTTATTAATTAAGATATCCAAAATTGCATATTAAACTTCTCTTAATTGATATCATAAGGGCTGAATTGTATGTATTCATCTTTCCGATTTGTTGTTTTAAAGTGAAATTTTTAACGTATTTTTAAAATATTGTGCAACGATTAGTAAAAGTTGCAAAGAAATTATTTTGAAATAAAAAACTATATTGAAATTTAATATCCGAATCCCAAAAGACCATTCAAGTTAGGATCGGCCCTGATTATTACCTAATTTCATATTTTAAGTGAATTAATTTGTCAAATCCTGTTCATATGTGTATCATTCAATCTGTCATACATATACTGTATCTTATATTATTTTAATTTCTGGCACATCTCACCTGCTTTTTGCAGTAATAATGTAGACATTTCGTTCTGCTTATTCTTAGTCATCAATTTATTATACATATTCCAATATTGTCTAGGCTCATAAGTAAATTGAAACTTTTGGCAGATGACCATTTTCATTTGTTTACAATGCCGAACAATGTCTCAAATATTTTCAATGTCAAACAATGACATGTCGTTTTTTTTTGCAATTTTTTTCCATTTATTTCTACAATATTACTATATTTTTTTAATAACATACATCTTAAAAAAATCCTTTAATAAACTTCAGAAAGATTTATCAAAATCCGAATAATCGTTTAGGAGGAGTTTATTTACATATATCATTACAGAGGCATTTTATATTTAAGATGATGCGTATAAAACACATAACCCTATATTTTTACCCTCTTACTACTAAACTCTATTTCGTAAGAATTATTATAGTAATTACATCATTTTATTTAAATTTTTGTTAGTGAACGTTTTTGCCTAAATTTCGATTTAGATTTTTTGAACATATGAAAAAGCTCAATTTTACATAAAAAAAATAATTTTATCAAGGGTTGTTCAGCTTTAACACTTATTTTTTAATGTATTGGATGAAGTGAAAATGAAAAATTTTCTTTAATTTGTATTTATGTAAGTTTTTTTTTGTTCATTATGTTTAATAGTATATATTTAAATCATTATTTTTAATTTCCCGTAGGGTAGTTATAGTAATGGGCCGAAAATCGAAAATGAAAATTCCTGCATTTCTCGACGTTTTGAAGGTTTCTGAACATTTTGGCATACCTCAGAAAATTTGCATGTGTGTGTGCTTTTGGAATTCGAGATACCCAGCTGTAAGTCTATAAATACTTGTATATCGATTCGACACCCTAAAGTTGTCTCAAAACCTACATAGGGTAGGGTGTCAATACCATATGTAGGTTTTGAGACAACTTTAGGGTATCAATTTACAAGTATTTACAGACTTACAGCTAGGTATCTAACATTCCGAGGTTCTTAAGTAATTCAAGCTACTAAGTTTATGCAATAAAACTTATTTTATCATTATTTTTTCAGAGAATAATAGAAATATTGCCATAAAGCCTCTACAATCCGAAATAATTGATTCTAATACACGTGAAGCAAGTACAATCTCCACTTCATCAAATACAAATGTGGTAAACAATTTTGAAACCAATATTTTATTAGATGATCCATTAGCTGATGCATTTCTTGAAGAATTTGATTTGCATAATATTAATGATGCCCCTGATGTTGATTTGGATAAGACTTTTATGAGAGTTCAGGTATTTATATTCATAGATTGTATTTAATAGAAAATTTAGTGTAAGTGGCATTTTGCTATGAGGCAAGTTGCATGAACCTCCTATCAAAACTTTAATTATTTTTTAAATTATACCTCTTGTTGTTGGCTTCGCTTTTTGTCTATGTTTTTGCCAAAAATTCTAAACCAATTTAGAAAATTCAAAAACTATTTGATATATATCATTAGGGTACCATGCTGATTAGTTGTTGACAAAAATCGGTAGTACTGTTTCTTCGATTTTGGTGACTTTTGATTTCTTCGCCATCTGGTCGCCACATATTTGTTAAAACTAGTTGGCATTGGTATTTTGCCTTGAGGCAAGTTTCATGAATTTCCCGATATGTGTAAATAATTGACTTAATCAATAAACAATAAATTAATTTATGAGCGATTAAAAGTATTTCGAGTGGATTTTTTACACATAATTGAAAACGAACGGACATGTTAACCCGGAGTATTTTCTAACAGCAAATTTTCAACAATCAATAATTTTTATAATTGAACCAGTTTCCGTAGGACTTTAATGGTTTAGTATGATCATTAGGACCAAGTAAATCATCTAATTTTGATGTTAACAAACATCAAAACAACAACTCATCTTCTCAAAATTTGATGAATTTTTAAAATTAAACTACTTGTCGTAAGAAAAAAAGTTCCATAAAAATCGGATTAAACTTTTTTACAAAGTTTAACACTTTTTTTCAAATTACAAAGAAACGGCTCGGCAGATCATCGCACAAAACTGACAAATTTCTGAAATCGGTTCACGCGTTTTTGAGAAAACGTCGATCAAAGGTCTGATTTTGACAAACGCCAAAAAAAATGATACTAATTTTTGCAAAATTTGACGAAATTTGAAAGTTAAAGGAGCTGCCGTAGGGCCGTAATATTTTAGTATGATCTATAAGACTATGGTATCTACCGTAAAAAAAAATCATAAAAATCGTCGAAAATTTTACACTTTATTACAAGAAAACGTCTCGGCCGATCTCTACCAAAAACTAATTTGCAAGATTCCCAACCAATATCTTTTGAACAATTTTTGAATTTTTAAAATCGATTCAGAATTGCGGGCTAAAACGTGGACGAAAATATTTTTCACTTTTCTGCTATTCACAAAGAAACGGATGACCGATCGTCACACAGAACTGACAAACAAAAGTTCTCATCGAGATACACCGAATTGCTTTTAAATTTTTGAAATCGTTCCAGCCGTTTTTGAGAAAACGTCGATTTACGGCAAAAAATCTGTTCACATACACATACACACACACACATACTTTTTCCAAATTTGGTGTCATTCGATTCAGAATGGCTTGAAACGTCGAGTAAACATAAAATTAGTGAATCGGATTTTTCGATGAAAACATTAACATCTCCTTCGGAAAGTTAAAAAAATAGAGCACCTATTCGTAACGGATATGCTAAAATATTATAGTCCTATGAAAAGAGGGATAATTATATAGATTAAATAAAATTTGAATTATTTGGACGCGCTTTTAGAAAATACTTTATGTATGTATTAGGCAGGTGTTTGTTTTGCTATAATGTGTAGAAAAAATGTACGAAATTAAAAAATCTGCAATAGTTTCTCAAATTATAATGCTCTACAGTCTGCACTAACACAGTATTTCATATACTGTATTAGTGCAGACTGTATGTAGTATATAAATTACTGATAATTTTATACCTTGATTTCTTATTAAGTCGATGTCAGGAAGTTCATGCAACCTGTCATAAGGCAAAGTATCACTTACTACTAGTTTAACTTCTGATGGACAATATATAGATTTCACTTTCCTTTATTTTAGGAATGCACACAGATCGAACCTGAGCCAGAAGAAACAAAAAATGTATTAGATCCTTCGTACCCCATCAAACTTAACAATAAATCGGTTATATTCTTCAAACAAGTTGATGAAATACAATCTATGATAATGAAGCCTAAAATGTTCGTAGTTGTTATCAAGGTAACATTTTTCACACACTTTTTTTATATAAGAATTAACCATTTCAGAAATCATTTTTAAGTTTTTGTAGTGCAATTGGGCAATTCTGTCGTAACAGAGCTCATAAAATAGCGTTGTCATGGTAACGCTTGTTTAGGCGTGCTCTTCGTATTGAAAATTATGAAAATGTCTATCTATTTGCCGTACGATCAGGCGTAGTTCACATATAAACAAGTAAGGAAGAATGTTATGGAATATGAATTCTAGATTGTGCTATCATAAGATTATTCCTTGTTTTTATATATGTAAAATACGCCTGATCGTACGGCAAATAGATAGACATTTTTATAATTTTCAATACCAAGTACAAGCATAAGAGAGCGTTGCCATGACAACTCTATTTTATGAGCTCTGTTACGGCAGAATTGCCCCATAGGATATAGTAATGGTCCAAAAATCGAAAATGAAAATTTTGACATATCTTCACGATTAATAATGTTTAACAGTTTTCAGAAGTGTTGTTAATTTAAGATTTATAATTAACTACTACTCTGCAACGCGGCGCTTACGCTCTTCGATATTTAGTTCAAAATTTTCAAAAGCTAGTGGTGTATGGCATCGTGTCTTAATGCAAATTGCTGGTACTTCCCATACTGCAATAAAATATTCGAAGAATATTAAATGCTTTCAAATATATTATTATAAATACTGTAACTATTAATATTGATTATAGACAAAATATAAAAGCTTAAAATTTGCATGATGTTCATAAAAGATTACATGAAAAGTTTTTTTTTTTAATTTCAATATCTGTTACAACTGTTAAATAATATAACATCTAGTAACATAAATGAGTAGTAACATAGATATAAATAAAATATAGTACAAAATAAAGGACAGTATTTTCATTAAAATGATATCTATATTAATATGATTATAATAATTATAAAATTAATAAATACAATAAAAAAAAATTGTGAATAATAAAAATAATACTAGAAAAACAATAAAGTAGAATAAAAAGAATAAGTACAAATAATAATAAATATAACAAAATAAAAATATTAGAAATAATAAGATAATAAAATAATAATAATAATAATAAACAAAACTTAATGATTCCCTTCGAAGAGGAGATAGAATGAATGTCTCATAATTCTAAGAATTATATAAACTGATGGACCGATTCTGACGCACAGCTGACCAATGTTATGGCAAGGCTTTGTTCTGAAGAACTTTTCATACTTATTTGTTCTAAATTATTAACAGCAATGTGATTGCTGCACAAGTCAGGCGTTTTCCTCAGGTTATTAGATAGAAAACCTAACCTAGAAACCGCACAGATGTCAAAAAAGCGATCTTAGATAACAGAGCTCTTCTGTAACAGCTTCATAACATACAGGTGACGTTGCAGTTTATGTGTGAAACACTTGAAAGCACAGCAAATACATGACATTTTGACAGTATTCAGTATAATTCAGTAGCATCATGTATGGAAGTTGGAGCGTAACATATTAAAAAAGAATTTGGAATTTTGAAAAAAAAAAGTATATATATATATATATATATATATATATATTGCTTTTCCCAAAAACAATCGTTTCGTCAACACAAGCAAAAGGTTTTTTGAATCATTCAAATCGGATGCTTCATTTTCTCAAAAACTACCATTTTTTACGCATTTAGCCCCGTATCTCCGAAACGTCTGGACCTGCTCTTTTGCCAAAAACTGATGACCACTTCTCACAAAAACCGACTTTTCATTTTCTACGCTCTTTGCTTCGTATCTCCAAAATGGTTGGACCGACCTTTCCCAAAAACTAATCAGCACATCTTCCTATCAATAGGAATCGAATGTTTTTTGAACCATTGAACTCGGTTGAACTGTCGGAAACGTCGTCGAAAAAATGTATCAGCACACACACACATCCATTTTTTCTGAGGTGTACCAAAATGTTCAGGAATCTCTGAAACGTGAAGATATGCAAAAATTTTCATTTTCGATTTTTGGCCCATTACTGTAACTTACCTTACGGAAAGTTAAAAAAAGCTTTTAAAAATTTTAAATTACTTTACAAGAAGTTCCAGCAATTTGCTTTATGACATGATGTACCACTAGTTTCTTTTTTATAGATAGAAAAGTTTATAGAAAAACTGTGTATGGAGGAAGATGAATGGAAAAATTTAGTTCGTGTAAGTGACTATTTAGTTGATTCCACTAGTTTTATGGATATAAAATTAGACTCGGACCTAATCAGCAAATACACTGGATACGATTCACAAAAAATGGCCGAATTAAAAATTCAACTGAAGGATAATCCTGAAAAAATTAATGATCTTTTAATGGTAATTAAACCCAGTTTAATAAATATTAATATTTCTGCAACCAATGTTATCAGAAATTTTTTTTTTAATTGTTTCAGAGTTTGAAACGAATGAAGGAAGATTTTATGAACAAGATTTTTTTAGCCGAGATTAAAATATTTCCACAAATTTTAACAGATCAGCCATCAATTATAGTTAGTTTAAACGAATTACAAAGTGAACACAGAAAACTAGTAGAAGATAAAAGGAATTATGATTGATGATTTGATTATTTTTTTAATTGTTAAGTACCTGATTACGCTTAATATAAATATAGTTACAATTTTTATATAAAAATACTCATAATATATATAATTTATAGAAAAGCTATTTTGGTTCAGTTTATGTGAAGATTTTCTAGAATAATATTAGATTTAATAATATTTTCCAGAATAATAATAATGTATGTATATGTACATAAATGCAAACATTTATATTTCAACTTAAAAATTTTGTACATAAATTTCTCCTCAAGCTCACTCATTGATTTTAACGGTATTATACATAGTTGTGTAAATTATGTAATTTTATTAATTTCAAAATTCAGAATATAGTTTCTGTCGTACTTCAATGTTGACAGTGCTTTCTCCATCCTCCTTAATGCTTCCAATATGATTTCTAAAACAGTAGCACCTTAGAAATAAATTTAATCAAATGCATAATATGTAACTCACCATCATACCATACCTAGTTGGGTAATAATTTGTGTTCCCAGCTGGCTCCACCGATGGCCTCATCCTCCTCTGAAGGCATGAGTGCCTTCTGCCCTGCAGATATGACTGCCTATTAATACAATAATAGAGTATTCTTATAATATTCCATTACATTTCGCCTCAATTTAAATCTTACCTTAACTGGTTGGATGGTGCATTCAATAACAGGAATGCTGGCTAATGCAGGATATATATACATATGAATGAACAGATCTGTAATTCAAAAACCCTCCTCATCAATGCAGGATACATGTGCAGACACAATGAGATGTATATTAACAAGAAGCTTCTGAGTATGTCTGCTCAGAATAATTTCTGATTTTTATTTACCTTAACTGGTTGGATGCTGCATTCAATAACAGGGAATGCTAATGCAGGATATATATACATACAAAATGTACAGATCTGTAATTCAAAAACCCTCTTCATCAATGCAGGATACATGTGCAGACACAATGAGATGTATATTAACAAGAAGCTTCTGAGTATGGCTGCTCAGAATAATTTCTGATTTTTTAAATGTTGGCACCGTGATTTTCTTTGTTTCAGCACTATTTTATCCTGTGTTTAGAGCCGTGTCTGTAGCCTTACTCTTTCTTAACCTTTTGTCTACTCTTCATTTGAAGTTTATTCAAAGTCTTATATCAAAGTTGAAATATCTTCCAATACTTCAATTCACATTTAAAACTCATTCATCACCAAAAAATGCAATAAATTTCCACTAGAGCGATAAGGGGAGCACTAATTAACTTCCCGAAGGAGAAGTTTATGTTTTCATAAAAAAATCCGATTCGCTAATTGTATGTTTTCTCGACGTTTCGAGCCATTCTGAATCGAATGAGACCAAATTTGGGAAAAGTATGTGTGTGTGTGTGTGTGTATGTGTGTGTGTGTGTGTGTGAACAGATTTTTTGCCGTAAATCGACGTTTTCTCCAAAACGGCTGGACCGATTTCAAAAATTTAAAAGCCATTTGATGTATCTCGATGAGGACTATCGTCTCTGAGTTTTGTGCGGCGATCGGCCGGGCCGTTTCTTTGTAAATTGCAGAAAAGTGAAAAATTTTTCGCCCACGTTTTAGCCCGCAATTCTGAATCGATTCTGAAAATTCAAAAACCATTTGATAGATATTGGTTGGGAATCGTGCTGATTAGTTTTTGGTAAAGATCGGCTGAAACGTTTTCTTGTAATAACGTTTAAAAAAAAAAATTTCGACGATTTTCATGATTTTTTTTTGACGGTAGATACCATAGTTTTCTAGGTCATACTAAAATATTACGGCCCTACGACAACTCGTTTAGCTTTAAAAATTCGTCAAAGTTTACAAAAATTGGTATAGTTTTTTTGACATTTGTCAAAATTAGACTTTTGATCGACGTTTTCTCAAAAGCGCCTGAACCGATTTCAGAAATTTAAAAGCCATTTGATGTATTTCGGTGAGGACTATCGTTTGTCAGTTTTGTGCGACGATCTGCCAAGCCATTTCTTTGCAATTTGAAAAAATGTGTTAAACTTTTCGTCCATATTTAAGCTCATCCTACCGAACCGATTTTAAAAAATCAAAAACTGTTCGAAAGATATTAGTTGGGAATGATACTGATTAATTTTAGGTGAAAATCTACCGAGCCGTTTTCTTGTAATTAACTGTTGGAAAAAAGTGTTAAATTTTCGTCCACATTTAAGCTCATCCTACCGAACCGATTTTAAAAAATCAAAAACTGTTCGAAAGATATTAGTTGGAAATGGTACTGATTAATTTTAGGTGAAAATCTACCGAGCCGTTTTCTTGTAATTAACTGTTGAAAAAAAGTGTTAAATTTTCGTCCACATTTAAGCTCATCCTACCGAACCGATTTTAAAAAATCAAAAACTGTTCGAAAGATATTAGTTGGGAATGATACTGATTAATTTTAGGTGAAAATCTACCGAGCCGTTTTCTTGTAATTAACTGTTGAAAAAAAGTGTTAAATTTTCGTCCACATTTAAGCTCATCCTACCGAACCGATTTTAAAAAATCAAAAACTGTTCGAAAGATATTAGTTGGGAATGATACTGATTAATTTTAGGTGAAAATCTACCGAGCCGTTTTCTTGTAATTAACTGTTGGAAAAAAGTGTTAAATTTTCGTCCACATTTAAGCTCATCCTACCGAACCGATTTTAAAAAATCAAAAACTGTTCGAAAGATATTAGTTGGAAATGGTACTGATTAATTTTAGGTGAAAATCTACCGAGCCGTTTTCTTGTAATTAACTGTTGAAAAAAAAATTTAAGCCGATTTTCATGGAACTTTTTTTGGTGATATACATCATGGTCTTATAGAACTTACTGTAATATTACGGCATTACGACAAGTAGTTTAATTTTAAAAATTCGTCAAACTTTACTAAAATTATTATCGTTTTTTTAAAGTAGGATTGATGAAGTATATTATTTACACATTTTTTTTTTGATTAAGTCAATTATTTACACATATCGGGAAGTTCATGTAACTTGCCTCAAGGCTAAATACCAAACCAACTAGTTTGTTTTGGAGGCCAATACATATCTCCAATAATTTTGGTGTCATTATCTTCTAAAATTAGCCAGTTAGATAGGGCCTGCTGGTAAACACGCAATGTTGTAACAGCATTTTAAACAAATCAAACCGATGTTGTGTAAATGTTAAAAATATATTATGAGATCAATATCAAACTTGTGATAATCAATAGATAGTAGCAATATTGATAACAAATTGCAACTGTAACATGGTGATTGGCTATTTTTCATGAGTCTTATTTATATTTATATTGAGAGTGAATTTTTTGAATAAGAACTGTAATAGAAATTGATGTTAGGGAAGCAAGTCATGTTTTACTCACATTCAATCCTTGTGAATTGCTCATTAAGCATTTGGACTTTCCTTTTAAATTGTATCCATGCGCAAGCAGATTTCACTCCTTGCATTGGATCAGCTCCACTTCTTGTCTGGAGCAGCTTGCACTTCTTGCCTTGAAGAAGCTTACACTTCTTGCCTCGGAACATCGCCCTCTGTTTGCAAACAGCTGAGAATCAAAGATGTCCTCTCACAAATATTGGCAAATACTATGTATTCCACATTTCTGGAATTCAACATTCATGGTTTGGAGGAACTCTTCATTTAGTGCTTCTCTTTGCATATAGTAATATGATGATTTTCTGAAAATATAGTTTATTATTAATAATAATAATTATTATTATTTTTATTATTAGTCTTGACCTATCTATGTTTATTTACAAGAAATATCATTTTTATGCAATAAAACAAAATAACTTACCTGCAGTTGACTAAACAAATAAAACACCTTCATAAAGTTTGCACACATACATTGACGATTGGCACTGAGTGTAATATGAAGAATTACTGTGCTTAACTATATATTTCTATTAATGTTTTTGAAGTAAGGTACATTAACATTATCATCGTTTTTCACAATGACATGTATTTTATAAAATATTGGACATTTTATTTTCGATAACTCCTTCACAAATAGTTCATTGATGATGAATTCTTCTGGAGAACAGCACAACCATGATTGAGTAAGTGATACCACAAGCTACCTTCTTATGATCTTCCACCATTTTTGGTAGTTTCTATAGCTTTGGATAAGAATTCCAATCTATATTAGTCCAGTCATTTAAGCTTAAATTAGGTAAGAATCTCGGAATTCGAAATACCCAGCTGTAAGTCTGTAAATAGTTGTATATTGACACCATAAAAGTTGTCTCAAAGCTACTTATGGTATGTTTGCCCTACCATATTGAAAACCGAGTCATTATTGTAAGTGTAGAGTACTCCGACACTCTAGAGTAGTCTAGAGCATAAATAATAGAATAAGATTTTTAAAAAAATGAAATAAACTTTTTTTCTTTTCCCAAAAACAATCATTTATAGCTCGGTATCTCCGAAATGACTGGTTCGGCCTTTGCCAAAATCTAATCACTACTTCTCCCCATCATTACGATTGAATGTTTTTTGGATCATTCAAATCGGATGCTCCGTTCTCTCAAAAACTCAATATCTGTTTTTTGCTCTCTTTGCTTCGTATCTCCGTAACGGCTGGACCTACCTTTGCCAAAAACTAAGCAGAACATTTCCCTAACAATGGAAATTGAATGTTTTTTGAACCATTCAAATCGAGTGGACACACAAAACACATACACACACATCCATTTTTTCTGAGGTATGCCATAATGTTCAGAAACCATCAAAAGCGTTTCCTTACCGATTTTTATGGCTCAATTGCAAGCTTTATTAAGCCTGGAATGAATATAGAACATTACTAATAAAATATTCACACGAGTCATTGATAACAATGTTTATTTATTTGATATTATATATATATATATATATATATAGATATATATGTATGTATGATATATATATAGATATATATGTATATATACATATACATATATATATATATATATATATATATACATACATACATACATACATATATATATATATATATATATATATATATATATACATCAAGCGAAGAAAGGCCAAAGATTTGTAAAATAATCTTTGTTTCCAAACGTTTCGACATTCAATTTAGTGTCATCATCGGTGGATCTAAGAACAGTATGAAAATTAGTATATCTAGGTAATATGTGTAATATGTGGATTGGTAAAGTAACTATACAATAATATTAATGTATAGTATTTATATAATGTATATATAAATTATTGTATAGTTACTTTACCAATCCACATATATTATAATTACCTAGATATACTAATTTTCATACTGTTTTTAGATCCACTGATGATGACATTAAATTGAATGTCGAAACGTTTGGAAATAAAGATTATTTTATAAATCTTTGGCTTTTCTTTGTTTGATGTATCGCCCTCAAGAACTCACTCATATATTTCAACATCAAAATTAACTACTAAATCATATATATATATATATATATATATATATATATATATATATATATATATATATATATATATATTAATTCTTATATTAATTTTTATATCTAATTATCATTAATTTCTATAAGCAGTCATATGTAACCTTTTGACTTATTTTGTAAATACTAATTACTCATTGGTATGAACAACCATGTGCTTTTTCAGGGTATTCGATTGTTCGAATACCTTATCGCACATTTTGCATTTGAAGGGGCGGTCTTCAGTGTGAATGAGCATATGTTTATTCAAGTTACCCAAGTGTGTGAATGTCTTATCACAAATTTGGCAAACATGGGTACGTTCACCTGTGTGAATAAGCAGATGTTGATTCAAGTGAGACAATTGTGTGAATGTCTTATCACAAATTGGGCAAACATGGGGACGTTCACCTGTGTGAATAAGCAGATGTTGATTCAAGTGAGACAATTGTTTGAATGTCTTATCACAAATTTGGCAAATGTGGCGACGTTCACCTGTGTGAATAAGCAGATGTTGATTCAAGTGAGACAATTGTTTGAATGTCTTATCACAAATTTGGCAAATGTGGCGACGTTCGCCTGTGTGAATAAGCAGATGTTGATTCAAGTGAGACAATTGTTTGAATGTCTTATCACAAATTTGGCAAATAAGGGGTTGTTCGCCAGTGTGAATGACCATATGTCTATTGAACATAGACAAATATACGAATGTCTTATCACATATTTGGCAAATATGGGGACATTCACTTGGTCCCTTTGCAGTATGAGCGCCAATATTTCGTTTTCGATTACTAGATTCATTCAAATGTAAAGTTTGTTCTCTTGCAGAAGCACAAATGTGTTGATCTAAATGATATTTTTCAGTAAATGCTTTACTGCACTTTGTACATGTGAAATGTTTTTCACATGTATAAGATTTTATATGTATTTCTAATGCACTTGCATCTGAAAAAGATTCTGAACAATATGTATCCTTATGACAATAATTTAACATATGCTGTTCTAAATGATGCAACTTTCTAAATGTTCTATGACACTTGTCACATTTATAAGGAGCAGTCTGAATTAATTCCTGTTCAACATTTTCTTCTATTTTCACTATGGAGTTCATAAATCTGTTTAGACATGTTTTGTCATCCTCTGAACATGATTCAGAAGTTTCCTCAATTTCCTGTTTGATGTCTTCGATTGGATATTCTTGTGGTTCAATTTTAATAATCGGATCATCAGCAGCTTCTGACATTTTGTGATATTTGTGCACTGAGTATGTTCTATAAGCATCAACAAAAATAGTTGGTTAGTTTAAATGAACTATTGTTAAATATGATGATTAATTTCACTAGAAATATAAATTAAAACATTAGCTGTTGACAGTTGGAGCATGGAGTATGATTTTAGAGAAAGTATTGCATTTATGCTCTCGTAACATTTTACAGGAATGTACTTTTAAATTAATAATCATTCTCAACTGTCAACACAATTTAAATGGTTCTGAGAATATAATATATTCATATTATAGTTTTGCCTATGAATGCAATTTACATTAATTTAACAGAAGTCTATTTTTGACAATTCCCTCTTCAAAATACTGTATTTTTGACAAACAGTGAATATGAATCAACTACTGTTCAAAGCTTTTGCCCTATTGCAGAGCTGAAATAAAACCGTAAAATTGAGCAATAAATATTTTTCATTATTAGAAGTTAAATGTTCATAGTTCTTTCTAAATAAAATATATAACTAAAAGTTAATCACGTGGAAGAACCTCAAAGTATAGTACACTACCTGTATGTTTAGTAATCAATCACAAATACTCCTTTATAATATATATTATTATATTTGTACTTAAATGTATATACAATATATTTAGTATGATATTTAATTAATAATTAAATAAACGAAATATAAAATGTTCGTTCAGAACATTAATTTCTTTGACAGTTGAACGAACTTCGTTACTTTGTCTCGCTCTAATGTTACTATTGCCAACTTACTACAATCAAGAGAGAAATAAGGGTCTAGATCGGCTATGTCCAACATGCGGCCCGATGGCGATTTTTGTGCGGCCCCATGACAAACAACAATCGCACAAATTATTATTTTCAATTTAAATAAATAAAATAATTTTTGAGTGCTAATATAGAAATCTGGACACTAAATCAGCTTCAACCGAAAGTAATGGTCATTAAAAGGAATAAATATTAAAATTCATTCAGATTTTTTGGCTGTATTGATTACATAAACAAATGTAGGAATAATACCCAGTATTTTTTAAAATGCACATGTGCTGCTATCTATAATCAAAGTTTTACTTTTCAATCAAGGTAACGTCAGACATAGCTATCTATTTATGTTTATTTATCTATAATAATATCCATTCTGACTGTAAATATAATGCACATTAGTAGAAGCAAATAAAATTTTAATTTTGATTTTCAATATATACTTACCTCTGTTATTGTAAAACAACATAATGGTGCGCCCCATTGCACGAAAGAAAATATAAACTTCCTACTAGACAGCGGGCAAACTCCCCTCTGGCGGATTTTAAGTAAAACTCGTTGCCCCGATTATGGGTGTCCTATCTATTCTTCGTAATAACTCTTCGGCTGTCTAGATTTGTTTTGGTCTTACACGTGCATTTTTAGGTTAGAAATTGATTGTACATGATTTATTCTAGACAATTTTAGAATATAATAAAATAGTTTTTTAAATTTTCTATCTTTTTCTAGCTTATATTGTTTCACAATAAAAAAGATAAGAGAAATCCACGTCAAAATATACTTTGTTTGCTACTATTAAAATGAATCATACCTTCAGTCAGGATGAATAATATCTTCGAATATCTTGTTATTGTTAATTTAGTAAGATAATATTATTCATATTATATTAATAAATAAATGAAAACTGCTAAACACTATTTATTATTATTTTATTATTGCCGATGTTGGCAGCTATGACATAATTGCGTTGTTCGTAACAAAGTTCGTTCAACGTCCATCTGTCAAAAAATTTATTTAAGTTACTTTATTTCATTTCTTATTTAATTATTCATTGTACAGAATATTACATTGATTGATTTAGTTGTATTGATTAAATTTAATAATAATTATAATTTGAAATATAAATAAAAGTGTATACGTGCAGTATTTGTGATTAGTTATTAAACATACAGGTGGTGCAAAATACCTTAAGGTTATTTCTCTGCATTAACTTTTATATTATATAAACATATTTTGTCAGAAAGAACTATATATATTTATTATCGGATAAAGATATGCAAAGAATAATGAAAACTCATATTTATCATTTTTATTTCAGCTCTGCAATTATATAAAATCTTTGAGCAACAAGTTGTTCCATATTATATCTGTCAAATATAAAGTACCTTGAGGAAATAAATCAAGTGATCAAGTAATCGAGTAAGTGACATGTATCAATAAGTTAACTTTATAATCTGTTAAATATAATAACTTCTTAGTGCTCTGACATTTATTTATATTTAACTAGATGACCGACAGACGTTGTCCTGTACCCATGTCTACAATTTTTTAATATAATATACTAATATTTACCGTTTATCTAAAAGAAATGATTATTGTTTTTTAAATTACTCTTCACGCCAAATTACATATACATTTATAATATGAGCGATGTTAAATGTAGAACTGCTTTAAATAAAATGATGAGTCTCAATTCCGACACTATATAGGAAATTGAAGTCTTTTAAACGGTAAACATAACCATGACCATAACATAACACTGGTACTTCATGTTGGAGTAAATTAATTTATTTTTTTATTATTTAAGATATCCAAAATTGCATCTTAAACTTCTCCTAATCGATATCATGAGGGCAGAATTGTATGTTTTCATCTTTACTTTTCTATTTGTTGTTATAAATTAAAATTTTTACGAATTTTAAAAATATTGTCAAAAGATCAGTAAAAGATGCAAAGAAATTATATGCTGAAAAAAAAAACTATATTGAAAATTTAATATCCGAATCTTGTGTTGGCGCCCCCTAAGGCGTGCGCTCGTATTTTTCGCATGCATCGCATTAAAGGTAGGACCGGCCCTGATTAATACTTAATTTCATATTTTAAGTGAATTAATTTGTCGTAACGTGTTCATATGTGTATCATTCAATCTGCGATACGTATACTGTATCTTATATTATTTGAATTTCTGGCACTTTTCATCTGCTTTTTGGCAATAATAATGTAGGCATTTTATTTTTCTTATTCATAATCATAAATTTATTAAACATATTCTAATATTGTCTAGATTCATAAGTAAATTGAAATTTTTGGCAGATGATAGTTTTCATTTGTTTTCAATGCAAACAATGACATGTCGTTTCTTGCAATTTTTTTCATTCATTTCTACAATATTACACATACATCCCAGTACTTTATAATCACATACATCCTAGAACATTTCCTTAACAAACTTCAGAAAGATTTATCATAATCCGTATAATCGTTTAGAAGGAGTATACAGTAAGCACTTGTAATTTAATATGAACATTATATAATAGCCATAAAGCTCAAGTTAATTCTACTATTGATTTTAGTTAGAAAACGTTTGTATGTGAAAAAGAAAAGGACTGTTTTTAGGGTTTTTTCCGGCAATTATTCGATTTTTTTCTCGCCGTAAGAACCATTCTTGGACTTCAACGAACATTTTAAAAAAAGAATTGGCCAAATTGGTACAAGCGTTGTTGAGTTATGCGCTTACCAACACATTTTGCGATTCATTTTTATATATAAGATTACAGAACAAGCTTATCCTGGATTCGAAGAAATGAGTAAAACTGAAAGTTTTTAACAATAAGCTGTTTTGAACACTATTTAATTCAATAAACTATCTGTAAATATCTGTTAAATATAAAGTGTTTTGAGGAAATTATGTAATTGACATACATATATCAATAAAGCTCAGTGCACACGACGCCAGATTTCCCGATTAGTGCATGCCGGACAGTTTGTTACCTAGCAACGATATGATAAATCATAATTTACGATCTTGCCAGCCAGATTTTACGTTTAAGCTCTCTACTCACAACGGCAGTATTCTTAACATAATTTCTGTCTTACTGATTTTACAACAAGTTCTATCCTTGAAAATTTCTGCTGTAATTTACGAATAGAGCATGACCCATTCTGCGATAGATGAACTGTTTTGTGGCCTAAACTTTCAGTGTCCAATGTGAAAGCTGTATTTTTTCACGTAAATATCAATGTGTACTTGATTCATGTACTTTAATTTTGGAAGCGTTCAGTTTTTATTTTGTAAATATATATTGTGTATATATAGCAATGTGAAAAAATGAATAGTTTTTGGAAAACGCAGTTCAGTAATTTTAAAATATAAAAGTCTCGAAATTTGCAAAAATACTCAAAGTTTGCGAACAAATCCAAATTTTATCATTTTTCTAAATTACAAAATATTAAACTTACATAAAACTTTTACTAAATTTTTCATAATCGTGCAGATTTTTATAACAATGTTAATCATCATAAAGATAATGATTTAAAAAATCAATAATTGTTATGTTAAACTGCAGCATTTTATTATTATTATTTCGATTAATTTTTAGAAGTATGAGATAGGATCATCTTATGAATTCATGCTAATCAGATACAATACATTTATATTTATTGTTGACGTTTCATACAGTGCTGTGTTCGTACACATATAGGAATTAGTGCATTTTAGGCCTATAAAATATGAATTGTGAAATTCACAGTATATGTTTATAATAATCTACTTGAAAATGCACAAAATTATTATTAATCATAAAATAAGTGAAAATCTGACGCAAAATTCTTGTTCGCCTTACCAGAAAACTTAACAGAAATCCTGAATAAAGAAATACTGGTGTCGAGTGCACCGGGCTTAAGTCAATTCCCAGATAAGCTTTTTTAACAACTTACTAATTACTTGTCTTAAGATTAAATAAATTGTTTCGATTATACAAATTATCATTTATCAAAACTTCTTGGCTTTCTTAACTCAATATAAGTTTACAGAACAAGCTTATCCTAAATTCTAAGAAGTGAGTAAAACTAAAAACTTTTAACAATAAGCTGTTTCAACCACTATTCAATTTAATAAACTATCTATTTATTATAAAGTATCTTGAGGAAATCAAGTAAGTGACATGCATATATCTATAAGTCAGTTCCCAGACAAGCTTTTTTTTCTCAACTTACTAATCACTTGTCTTAAGATTAAAACAGTTGCTTCGATTTCACAATTTGTCAATTATGAAGACTACTCGGCTCTCTTAACTTAATATAACTTTGCAGAATAAGCTTATCCTAGATTCAAAGAAATTAGTAAAACTAAAAGCTTTAAACAATAAGCTATTTTAATAACTATTCATTTCAATAAACTAAATATTTATTATAAAGTATCTTGAAGAAATCAAGTAAGTGACATCCATATATCAATAAGTTATTTTCTAGATAAGATTTTTTCCTCAACTTACTAATTATTTATCTCAAGATTAAATAAGTTGTTACGATATCATAATTTGTCAATTATGAAGATTTCTTGGCTCTCCTAAATCAATATAACTTTGCAGAACAAGCTTATCTTAAATTCAAAGAAATTAGTAAAACTAAAAGCTTTAAACAATAAGCTGTTTCAACCACTATTCAATTTAATAATCTATTTATTGAGGAAATCAAGTAAGTGACATACATATATCAATAAGTCATTTTCTAGATAAGATTTTTTTCTCAACTTACTAATTATTTATCTTAAGATTAAATAAATTGTTTCGATTAGACAAATTATCAATTATGAAGACTCTCTTAACTTAATATAACTTTGCAGAACAAGCTTATCCTAGATTCAAAGAAATTATTAAAACTAAAAGCTTTTATCAATAAGCTGTTTCAATCACTTTTTTTAATTCAATAAACTATCTATTTATTATAAAGTGTCTTGAAGAAATCAAGTATGTGACATACATTCCGATAAGTTTTTTTTTCAACTTACTAATTACTTGGCTTAAGATTAAATAAGCTGTTTCGATTTCACAAGTTGTCAAATATAAAGATTTCTAGGTTCTTTTAACTTAATATATGTTTACAGAACAAGCTTATGCTAGAATCAAAGAAATGAGTAATACCAAAAGCTTTTAACAAGTTGTTTCAATCACTTTTTTTTAAATACATTATAACCTATCTATTTATTATAAGTGTCTTGAGGAAATCAAGTAAGTGACATACATATATCAATAAGTCATTTTCTAGATAAGATTTTTCCTCAACTTACTATTATTTATCTCAAGATTAAATAATTGTTTCGATATCACAATTTGTCAATTATGAAGACTTCTTGGCTCTCTTAAATATAAGTTTACAGAACAAGCAGCGAATTCTAGATTCAAAGAAATGAGTAAAACTAAAAGCTTTTATCAATAAGCTGTTTCAATCACTATTTAATACAGTTAACTTTCTGTTAAATATAAAGTGCAAGACTTTTTGGTTCTCCTATTTCATTATAAGAAGAAGCATTATTTTCAGACAATCTACAACATTTTCAGACAAGCTACAACATTATCAGTAAAACTACAACATTTTGAGACAATTAGGACAATTTACTACATTTTCAGACAACTTTCTACATTTTAAGGCAACCTACAACATTTTCAGACAACCTACAACATTTTCAGACAAGCTACAATGTTATAAGTGAAGCTACAACATTTCGAGACAATTTACAACATTATCAGACAACCTACAACATATGTTAAGGCAATCTACAACATTTTCAGAAAACATACAACCTTTTCAGTCAAGCTACAACATTTTGAGACAATTCACAACATTTTCAGATAATCAACAACCCTTTCAGACAAGCTACAACATTATCAGTCAAGCTACAACATTTTGAGACAATTTACATTATCAGACAATCTGCAACTATTTCAGACCCTTTACTACATTTTCAGACAATTAAAAACATTTTCAGACAACTTTCAACATTTTAAGGCAATCTACAACGTTTTTAGGCGACTTACAATATTTTCAGGCAATCTACAACATTTTCAGATAACCTACAACTTTTTCAGACAAGCTACAACGTTATTAGTGAAGCTATAACATTTTGAGACAATTTACATTATCAGACTTACAATATGTTAAGGCAATCTACAATATTTTCAGACAACCTACAACCTTTTTAGACAAGCTACAACGTTATCAGTGAAGCTACAACATTTTGAGACAATTTACAACATTATCAGACAACTTACAATATGTTAAGGCAATCTACAACATTTTCAGACAACCTATAACCTTTTCAGACAAGCTACAACATTTTCAGTCAATTTTTACTACAATTTCAGACACTTAAGAACATTTTCAGACTTTCAACATTTTTAGTTTTTAGATTACTTACAATA